GGCGCCTAATCTTGAGGGGATGCTGGGTGCCCAAAGGAAACCTCCATGTGGCCCCCAAGGTTGCAAACCAAACTTTGTGAGGTCACTAGGACTTGCCCAGAAGATGCCCATGTCCATCGCTTTAAAGCCGGGCCGGCAACTCGCACTTTCTGCAAGACGGCTCGTGGAAGCAACAAGCCTGATTCAGCCTCCCTTAAAAAGCCCGCTAAGAGGAGACCCTATCAGTGATGTTTGGATTGAAGCTTAAAAGTACTCACCTCAGATTTGACACTGTAAAGGGGTCCTTTAACCGCCTGCCAAAGCAATTTCCCAAAAAACCACCCTCCCCCTCCGGTAGGGACAAAATTGGCACTTGACTTCGTTCAAGCGGAGCCCCTGAAAAACCAAATGTACGAAACGGGCATCAAATTCTGTTTTTTTAGGTGGTGTTCAGGTACTTGGGCGGTACTTTTCAGGATTCGGGTACGTCAAAGGATTCAAAACAACGGTACATGGGCCGCAAAGGCCCCACTGAGAGCCGCAAAGCCCCAGCCCCAGAGCCCCACAAGCCTTCCTGAGCCCCCTGGCCCCAGCGAGAGGAAGCGCCGAGCACGGAAGACCAGTTGACCCATGCGGCAGGTCGCCAGGAGCCGCTTGTGCCTGGAGCCGACTCAAGGTGTGGTCCCCTTTTGAGAGGTTTGTACCCTCTTTGACCAGTTGTCCTTTTCGCAGGGACGGTGTGTGCCACAAAAAAGGTTGATGGCTCGCCCTGTTTACCCGTCAAATTGTGAGAATGGCAATGGAACATGCACTGGCTGCTGCAATTCATCAGCCTAGATCATGGGTAAACATGTTCATCATGGGTGAGCCTTACCCCAGGTGAACTGAGTGCGAAATGTCTTTGGCAAGCGTAGCACTGCGCAAGCACAAAGAGCTTTGTGTATCCTGTACTCGCTGTGTTCCTTCAACACGTCTAAGCATGTCCATTCCAATTCAAACAAACAACATATAAAGTTGCGCTTCGACTCCAACATTTAAAATCAAAACACAAAAGAAACACAAAAGTGCGAAACCTCACGTTGTGCCTTCAGGCATCAACCGTCACAATCAGGGTGGCAGAAGGTAAACATTGCCAAAACCCGACTTCCTCAGGCATGGCTCGTGGCTCAAGAACATTCGTGCACAGGGGTCTCTTGCAAGTAGGAAAATTGAAGGGACACATTGCAACTTGGCATTTTGTTGGCTTCCTTCCGAAGAGCAGCGAACCACCCCACTCACCACCAATGTGCGCGGGACCACTCAAACGAGGAACTTAGGAATGGAGACGAGCGCTGGCTCCAGCTTGCGTTTGCAGGATCTCTGAGTTTGCAAAGGGATTCACCATAGGAGACGAATCTCAACTTTATTTTTTACACCTGCAGTGGGTCCGCCTCAAAAGTTCGGGCCCGCCGGCTGTCGTGTTTCCTTTCCGGTGCCCTTTGCGAAAAAAAAATCCAAAGGGGAGCCGTCAAGCGGCAAGAACTTCCATGCCGACCCCCGGCCTGATGTACTTGAGACATCTCGTCAGCTTGCACTTGCGCTCCGGCCCTTCGCAGACGCGTTCACGTCGCGAGCACGAGCAGTCCATACAAGCTATAGCATTCACTTTAGGCCCGGCTGAAGTGAGTTAGTTGCCCGGTATTTGAAACTTTTTCCGGCAGCGCATGTTTCGCTGGAAAAATCTCAGAATTTGGCCAACCTGTGTCAACATCTGTTGTTTCTCTCTTCAAACGTGTAACTCCCCTTCAAGGGGTCCGTGGCATGGCCCGAATCATGGGGACGTGTTGAACGTTAGTGGCACCTGGGCACAAGGAAGCCCCTCACACGCTGCGATGAACGACCCGGTCACGATCCTCTTTTGGGTTTGGGGGGTCCAAAACAGCGGCCCGTGACACCCCAAATGCTCCCTGTTCGAACTTCACAAACTCTTCAAGAAAACTGAGCAGTTCATCTCTTGAAGCTTATCTACACAGCGTTTGGTTCAGAAACCAAGCGAAAAATCTGATGTTGAGGAGTTGGGTTGCAAATAAGAGACAAACATAAAGCTAAGTCACCCAAAAAGGGAAACTACAAGGACCCTTAAATCCCCGAAGTGATGATGTTCAAGTGAGGTACTTTGCTTCCCTCAACCGCTGACGGCAATTGTTTTATCGATTCACTGCCAAATCGCGCGAAACCATCTACGGGTGCGGTCCGCGGTATTACACCCACAGGTAGGCTCAGCCAACGAACGTTGCGAAACAATCATCATCCTTCGAGCAAAGGTAAACAATGACCAACTCTTGACCCAGTACATGTCTCGCTTCCTGACTGGATAAGTTCCAAGGATAGGGCCCCGAACTTGCTTGCCAACGCAATGAATGGTTTGCGCCAAAAAAGTGGACAGCTGATAGAACGAGCCTAAAGGGGGTGAAATAGATTCCCATCAAAAAATGGACTTGTGAAGCATGATTTGCCTAGAAGAGGGTTCCTTCCTTCCACATCTTGACTCAACCTTCCCTATATTTCCTCGTTCAACATCAGCCTACTAAAAGGACATGCACTTCAAATTGGCGCACATGAAGCCACCCTTTCAAGTGAAATACACCCGAAGAAGCTGCCACTCGTAAACCAAACGGAACAAGAGGACGTCTTGAACCACAAAGCATAACCTAGAAACATGCTGGGATTCTTACGCCCACACGAAACCCACACAAAACCCACACAAAAACCCAAAACCCATTAAAAACCCAAACCCACACAACTCCCACACCCTACACACACACACACACAAAAAAAAACCCACCCAAGACCGAAACCACGCAAAACCCACCCAAAGTCCGCACACAACCACCCCAAATCCACAAAACACACGGACAAATTAGGATCATATCACCCATGAAAGAAGCAAATGAATGCCGGCCTCAAAGAAACATGTCCCCACTCATTCCGGCGCCAGCAGAAGTTGGCAGGATGAGCCGGAGGCTCTAAAGTATGTGGGAAACCACCTTAAATTTCGCTGCCGCCCCGGTAGGGCGCTTTTCGTGCCTCGGCGCCTCAGCAAGTACTGTAGCCTGGCAAGTGACCCAACTCCAACGCCATCCGGAGGGGGACGGGGGCGTTGGAATGTCTGGAACAATGTCGCATATCTAGCAGGCAGCAGAAGGATCCAAAAAAACCAAGGCTGCCCATTTCTGAAGAACCCTAAGTTCCTTGTGGGGGGGGACCGTGGGGGTCTGAACCGGCAACCTGCTCGGAACCCCACAAGGGCCACCCCCATGACTGCGCTTTGACCTCCTCGCGAAAAAGGGAGCTTCTGCTGGGCACATACCCCAGGTTGGTTGGGACGACACTCGAAACCCCCCATCATCAATTAAAGGTTGCTCTAAGAGGGGCCTGAAAAACTAAGTGCCATTTGATCAGTTGGTTACAACCCGTCTTTGCCTCTATCAGATTCGCCCAGCCCGGTCCCCGCACATCCGGAAGCTTGCAACGGCCACCCGGCTTGCTGTGGCGCCCGGCATAGGAATCAACTCTGTGCGAATGCTTTGCAGCGCCTCGGGGCAGCAGAGGCTGAGAGTTTCGCGTCTGAAAAAAATAGCTCGGAGCTAAGGTTGGCGACCATGAACTTGTTGATGTACAAATGTCAACATATGAATATGCATAATGTGCATGTATATATATATATATAATATGTATGTACTACTATAGCCTTGTGAAACAATACATCCCAAAGGTGTTGTTGCCTGCAACAGTGCGTGCAAGGAACAACTCACAGCTCCGAACCTGTCGATCCTCTGCCCTGAACAGGGGTCCCTATATTTCGCCTTTCAACATCCTCCGCCCTAAAAAGTGATGTGTAAAGCCGCCAAAAGGGGAAATAGAGGGACCGCTGCTGAATACGAAAGACTCTGAGTTGAGGCCGCTTGAGAACGTCAAAACTCGCCCCAAAGAAACACAAATAGGCTGCTGCAGAAGAACATGGCACCAATCCCAAAACATTGGGATGTTCTCTCTTGAGGTCCTTTGTTGGGTCTTTTTTCAAAGGAAGTCCAAGGTGGGGAAACCAAAGCTCATTGGAGTTTGGCTCCCTTAAGACCATGTGAGCCGCGGCAAAATATGGAGGGGGTTACCCCAAAGGATATGAGAGAACTTGTTGGAAAGAGAATCGGGCTCTCATGTGTCCCTCTGAATCGAGTCCGAACCTCATAAATAAATCAACCGCTAGCTGCTCCTGGCATCAGCTTCTGTCCTAGCCGTTTCCTTACACCGAGCAAGGAGCTCGCTGCAAGAATGCCACCATGTTTTGTATCCACCTGCGGTTTGGGGGAAATAGAGCCTGTCCTTCGCAACAGGCAAACAAGCTGCATCTCGTGACCGGTCGCCCGCCCATTCAAAACATCTTCTCAGTAGGGGTGATTCATTGGTGTATTGAAATGCTTGTTGAAGCTCCCATCTTCGTGATGTCCACGACAAATTAGCTTGCCTGACGTCTCACGGAATCCTCACTGGAACACAAAGAACACATCGATGGTTGCGAGGATTGTGGAAATTTCGACCCTTGCGACGCCACAGAAAACATCCCAGCCCATCGCTTCAAAGTGGGACCTTATATCCGGTTTCCCATTCGAAACGTCCCGAGTTCACCGTGTTTAAGCCTCTGACCCGGATCGCCACGTCCACCGGCTTCCTGGCAAGAGGAAGCCATGGATCGCTGCCAGGCGGTGTGCATCACATGTCTGAGAATCAAAGGCCCCAGCGTCCCTTGCCTCATGGGACATTTGGGCTGCCCAAAGGACAAACCGCAGAATCTGGGGGTTCATGTGCAGGTATGGCCATGGGTCCCAATCCAACCACTAAAATAGGTTCTAAAGTGGGTGGTGAATTCACCTACCCCGAAATGGGATCCCATTGGTTTTGACCCACAGCCATATGTGCCCCCTGGGAAAATGTACATTACCCCACCAGCCCGCAGGCTCGCTCCCTGGCCGCAGCTCCTTTTTGTGCCCATCCGCGAACACTTTGCGCGGGGAAGGCGTTTGCAGCGGGGCATGGACGCCTGGCGAGCCGTTGCCATCCAAGCCTCAAGGGAAGCCTTTGCTTCCGTCTCGCATGGGGGTGGGTCAAAAAATAAAAACCACCAGTGGACCACAGGTTTTAGCCATTGTTTCCATTTACCGGGGCGCCATTTGGGGTACCTATTTTTGACCCATAGCCACATGGAAACTATCAGCAGTTGCTTTTTTGATGCAAATGTTCCGCCAGGATGCCCAGTCAGGTTCCATGTTGGTGGATGGGAGTTATTTCCCATTGGCTTCTTCAACCAGCGCCAAACAAGGGGGGGAGCCCCGCATTTCTCCAGCTTACCTGCTGAATCATATAACCAACCATGAAACCATGAGATGACAAAGGCCAACAAATGGTTGTGCTCGGTCAGAAATCTCCGAGCTCGTTTTTTCGTAACCATTGCAGTCTCATGACTCACCTGCATCTCTCAGCTTTAGACCCCGAAATGGCTCGATGCTTGGGGCCAAAAGGCCCCAAATCTGGGCCTTGGACAGCGGATTCGGGTAAATTGGACTGAAGCCAAACGACCCCATGTGTTAACCAAGATCTAACCTAGCAAAGGGCCGAAGTCACTAGAACGGGGTGAGGAGCTTCAAACCCCTTCTGTACATCCTTCTCCAAAAAATAAGACTGACAAACTGTGCGGATGTGTTTCGCTTCTTTCGCCTTTTAGTCCAGACGTCTGGTGCATCGCGTGATTCGAGTGAGCCTCACCACCAGATGCCACACTCCTGGAGACTCGGTGCGACGGCCTCGGGGCAAGAGTTGGCATGTGTTGGCCAATCCGCTTTTCCAGCCTGCGAAACCACAAAGGACCCCTGCCAAGCCAAGGATTGAGGATTCTTGGATGCTTCCTACTCTGCAGCCCATACGTTTTCAGTGGCTTCTCTTTTGCGCGGAGTACTGTCGGCCCCGGATTGATGAACCGTGACCACCTACGTGTCCCAAACTTTTTCAGTGGTGTCTCTCTTGCGCGGCAGTACTGTCGGCCCCGGATTGATGAACCCCCAAAGCCTGATCCGGATCCCTTCTGAAATGGCTTGCACCCTTCGCCCTTCAAGTTCAGGAAATCCGGACTCAACATCGTGGTCTTTCTAGAGGCCCCCGGGAAAGCGGTTCTTCCGGTCCCAGTCCCAACAAGATCTCAGGCCCTCGAGCGAGAGCTCGAGAGCCCTGGTTCCGGTCCCGGGTGACCCTAGGCCTAAGAAGGCCTAAGAAGGCCACTCCGAAAGGTGTGACTTCCAAAAAAGAACGAAGAGATGCGGGTGTTTGCTTGTTTCGAATCACCAGTTGGCTCTCACTTGCCTGAGTTTCAAGCAAACTTGCAGTGAAACCCAGAGAAATGGTTGGGGCACAAATCCCCATGAAACCAGTTGGCCCTCACTTGCATGAGGAGAGTCCAAAACAGCTGGGGCTCAAAAAATCGGTGCCCAAAATAGAACCCCGGTAAAGAAAAAGGAAACAAAGACAAAAACCTGCAGTCCAATTCCTGGATGAATTTTGAGCCATACCCAAGGAGGAGAGTCTGGTCTCATTATTTTACCATGGTCAAAGTCACCCCCTAAGTGGTGGGAATTAACCCCATTTCTGACTTTGATAACCCCCAGAAACCGTCAAAATAATGACCCCTGAGAGTCAAAAGAGTCCAACCCCCGCCTTCATGGCCGCCAGGGACAAGGCGATCGACTTGCTGCGCTGCGTCAACAGGAGCCCGCAGGACTGCAACAACACCTGCCGCGCCGTGACTCGTGTTTTCTGGGGTCATATATGCTAGTCAACCCTAAAGTCTTGAATGAGTTCGGGGAAAACTGTTTTTTCTGCAGGGCAACCTTTCAACACTTTCCAAGAGGTCGGTTTGTCGTGGAAGCTGAGGGGGACCGACCCCTGCCTTCACGGCTCATGGGCGTCGCTTTCTTGACGCCACCCTTTTCTAAGGGGCTGGTTTCAGTGGAAACTGTCCACTCTAAGGTTGGGTGTGCCTCAAAAGGGGACCCTAAAATCATGAAATTGGCCACTCCCGTCGGCCACAAGGTGCGCCCTTGGCCCTTCATTGGTCAAACCACGAACACCAAGAGGAAACCAGACATTTTGCCGATTCCCCATTTGGGTATGAATTTCATTTCGGCACGCTTTGAAGATGTATGTCCACCAACCACTTTTCGGGAGGTTCCCCATTAAAATTCCTTACCCCCAATTTTTCAGGCGGGTTGCGGAAAAAACGGTACCCAAGGGAACACCACCGTGGGGCCCCGAGATTTTGAGGCCCAACACCACGGGCGTCTCCAAACTCCGCCGGGCCCGCTGAGCCCAGGTCCTCAAAGATCGGCCGAATGGGTCCGACGGCGGTCTCGGGCTTCGTTTTGGGGGGGGTGGTGTCGTTTCCCATTTGGCAAATCATTTGGCAGATGATTTTCCGGATGTCACTTTAATGGCCCGGTACCATTTTATCAGGTTATGATGCCAAACTAAATGTGGGGGTGTGGGCTACCATTGAACCATGATCGTAGGACAAAGATGTGTAATTGGGCAGCACATGATAATCATTCGCCAATTATTGAAATAAGGCATACGTGAGAAAGAAACCCCGAGCAACTCTTATCGTTTCTCAGGCAGGGGAATTGAAACTCCAACTTTCCCCTCGTGTGTGTCTTTCTACGCTGGCCTTCAGCATGCCTCGCTCCGTTTCCCAGCCGAACATCTGGGCTCTAGCCCAAAGTCAGGCGAATTCGCTTGCCGCTCCCTTCCCCATTGCTGTCCTTCACCTCCACCTCCACCGCATTCCTGCAAGCAAAAGGGATGCCCTTCTTATCAAGTTTTTTTGGGGGGGGCTCCTTACAAAAGCGTTCAAAGGGCTCCAATCATTCTGGCGTTGAGCCGCTGGGCTGACATGGTCACAGGTCCTTCTGAGACAAGGGCCCAAAGTGGGTGCCAGGGATTCCTCTGCCATTCAACCCTGGCCGCGTTTTGGCTCCTGCGTTCGGGCCCGCCTTTTCAAGGGGATGCCAAATCGGAGGCCTCTGTCTGGTCCTAAAAGTGGGCTTTCCCGGAAAAGAACCACAAATCCCTGGCATAAGTGGACAGCTTTTCTCAGCCAGTTTCGCTCTCTTCAACGATCATGGAAGTGCACAGAAGGGTTTGGAAGACTCGCATCCTTCTCCAAAAGGCTCCTTATAGCCGGGTTTCTCTGACCCAAGCTGAGCACTCATCTTCCCCCTGAAGTCCTGATTTCAGCACATGCACATACTTGGGGACACCAGATCCAGTCCTCTGATGTCAATGGGGGGCAAACGTAACATCCAAGCCATGAAATCCATTGATGCGTTTGATGCCTTTGCTTCCGCCAACCTATGCGCACTCCAACCAACATTGGCGCAGGGGGGCAAAAACTCGTGCAAACTTGGCCAATGAGGGCAGCCATTTTGGAGAGGTGAGCTCCCCAACATAACGGCCGGTCTCCGGCGCTCAAGAGGCCGAAGGCCTTAGTCTCAATCGAGTCGCAAACAAAAAAATATCAATTCACTCTGGTGAAGAATCAGACGAGCCTTTGCCGCACCTGTTGACGGTTGCTTGTGGTCACTGTACCCGCTCTTTTGGGAGGGTTACTCATTCGTGTCCCAATTTTGTGGTAGTGTAGACCGAACCACCAAGCGTTGAAGGCACCTCTGCATTGGTCTCACGGGACAACCCCTGGAGATGGACAAAAAATTACCACCCAACCACACCCCCAAGGCCGAAACCGAGAAAAGAAAAAAAACATCGGCGAGTTGTCGCGAACCCTACGACACGTCGATACCCCGAGATCCGGTTGATCCGGCTCCGGGCCGAAAAATCCCGCGCCTGGTCACCTTCAGCACCTGGAACCCTGGCAGCGCGCCCAACACCTTGCAGGCGCTCTCCGGCTGCAGCCTGGCGGCGCTCCCAGCGCGCTGAGCCGGGAACGTGGTACAGTTCCCGAAGGAAACCCCCGCATTTTGACATACACCCCTGAATGGGCCCAACGAAATCGCTGCACAAAACACAGAAAACAACAAAGAGTTTTACATGTTGTTGCGCTTGCATTTTGAAAAGGGTGCGGAGTTTGTTTGGGAAGCTATGATGTTTCTTCTTTGGATGCTTTTCGTTTTTTCGTCATGTGCAAACAGATTCTGTAAATTACATCATTTTGTCACGAAATGCGTGCATTCTGCACTAGCTCGTCAGCTCGTCAACATCCCTAGTTGTTTTCAACATCCCCAGCTTCTCACCCACGAAATTGCCGTATTTTACACTAGCTTGTCACCATCCTTAGTTGTTCCCGAATGCGTAGCAGAAGCTCCCCTTTTCGAAGTTGGGGGTCACGGGGGTTAGGAGGTGACCAGAATCTGTGCGCTTTACGTGCAAAGTTCGTGGCAGGCGCAGCACTGTTGGGTGCAGATTTCGTGGCAGGCGCAGCACATTGAGTAGGTCGAATCGTTCTCGCCGCGGCGCTGTGCGCATTTTGAGAGCGTGAACCCTCTGCACACGTTGACAGCTTTTCTCAGTCAAACCGTAAAACAACGGCTTCGCAGGCGGGATAAAAAAAACAAAAACAAAAGCTAACCCTCCATCAAATCAGTCGTCCCGTCATGCCGATGCTCTGCTCAAAGGATCTGGAAATCCCATCTGCCGATCCTGCAAGGAAGGGTTTGGAACACTCACATCCTTGTAGCCAGTTTCCTTGGCCCCAGCCACCCATCTGTCCAGTGATGACGTCTTGACTTCAGCACATGCACATCTTTGCTGTGCCTTTGCGCCCCATAAAGGGCAAACCAACATGACACCAGAGATTACAATCATTTGGATGGGACACCATTGACGCATATCCACAATGTGACCAAACTGATTCATATTGACTGCTCCAGTATTGGTGTCAAGGGTTGCGAACATCCAAGCCAGTCAGCCCCCGCCTGAAAGGCAAATTCGCGGCCAACTGCACGTTGCGGACCTCGCGGCGACGCATTTATTCGTACATGTTCGTTTTGGAGAAGCACATGGGGTTCTGGCAGAAATGCAAAAGGAAGCAAACAAATATTTACCCAGTTGCCCAAGGGATGTCGCCTTGCCTTTGCCGACGCTCTGTCTGACAAGAGCGAATCTTGGAGGTCCAAAGCCTCCCTGAGTTGTTTTGGTGTTTGTTTCTTTCTTTGTTGGTTCCTTCTTGGAACACGCAAACAAGTCAATCGTCTCGCCCCTCCGAGTGCTGGGATCGCGTCCAAATTCGGGCAGGCTCTGGTTCTTGGCAGCATAGGAAACCCCCAGAATGGTTGCGCATCTCTGCAGACCACAAGCTGGTGTTCCCATTTCACTGCAGCCAAGCATGTGTTTTCCATGGGTCAGCCTCAAGAAAGAAAGGTTCAGCACCTTGATTCAAGGACTCAGACACACGAACCCGACGCACAGAAAACAACAACTTGCAAACGGATGATCACCGAAAAGGAAACAAGGATCACGGCAAAACATGCTGGCGGAAACAGGGACGGAAACAAAGATGACAACATCCGACTTCAACTTGATTGTCTCTTTTTTTGAGGCCCCCCCCCCAAAAAAAGTGACTTTCCTTCGATTCTGGGTTCCCTTGAAAACCACCAAAAAAGGGGGCCCACCCCCTCAACAAAAAGAACACACTCATTTGTTCTGACTTTGACGGGAAGCCTCTGCGTTAGGGAAAGAGCCGCTTCCACCACCGCAGATCGAAGCGATTTTCTCTCGCCGGGCCGTGTAGCGCTTGAAGGTCACCGCCGCGCAGTGGCACTTCCGCACCATGCCTCCGCAATCGATTCGGGGGAAGGAGGTGGCAGACGCGTTTGCTTGCGTTGGTCACCCTGGGACCAAGATATAACGTCACAATATCGAAGTGAAGCAAGAAAAACCATGAAGCATAATATCGAAGTGAAGCAAGAAACACCATGAAGCATAATATCAAAGTGAAGCAAGAAAAAACATAAAGCATAATATCGAACAAGAACAAAAAAAAACATGCATTAAGGAGAAAAAACACTTTAAGCGATGGACTGTCTGCAATCAGCGGCATTTGCGCACATTACTAATATGTTTACGATGAATTGCACTTATCTTCCTAGTAACTGGTCCTAGTAGTCAAACTTTGAGATCCCTAACCTTAAGGCCTTCAGAGCGGGTCCCCCAGTTCCAACTAGTCTTCCAATGCATCGTATCGTAGTTTTCAAGTACACAGGAAGATGGCGTCCATTCCCCGACAGCCATCACTGTGACCATGCCCAAATACCCTGCGCCGCCAGCCCCCAACGCATGACGCGCAGCATTCAAGCAAGTAGGAACACCTGGGCGCCTGTCTTTGATGCTTTCGCCAAACTGTCCATGGCGCATTGCGATGGTTCTCCGCTGCAGATCCAGATTCGATCTCCTTTCCGTAGCAGTCTCCATTCTTGTGCTGTAAACCGAGGCACTCTGCATGGAACGTGGCACAGGGTACGCTTTCAGATGCCAAGGACGCACTTTGCAAAGTTAAACCACGGCTTGCTCTTGACATTGCAAGGGGTAAAGCGAGCTGCAAGTCGACCCTCAGTTAATACCCCTCCCCCGCCTTCCCCTCCCCAGGCGAATCGGGGAAAAAAAAAAACAAGTCCCCATTCACTCCCTTTTAAAAAGCTCAAGATCTAAGATCATTCACACATTCCTCGGCTGTTTGGGGGTTCCACGGAACCGAAAACCAAGCGGCTTCCCTTCCGCAGCCCATTTTCCGAGTCCAACCCAAACCTTCCGCCCTCCCTCTCTAGGCCCCCGGGCGCGCCAGCTTCTTCGCCGCCATCCGCGCCTGGCAGAGCTGGGACGAACTCCTTGGCACCTCGTTGGGCACAGACCCTACGTAGCTTTCAGCTGACAAGGAACGTCTTTGCGGAAAATCACAACCAACACATAGTCTGCTGGAACATCTTTCTTACAGTCACTTGATCTGAAACGGAATGTGCACTGCCCCCCACAAAAGCTCGAGAACTAAAAATGAAAGAAAAGAGGCTGAAAAATACGACAATTCCAAACTCCAAACAACTCGAAAGATTGTAAACATGAAAATTCAAAAATGCTCTGAGAAGGGGAAAAAAAGGGAAAAAAAAGCTGGTGCAAAAACAAAACAAACGCTCTAAGCACTTGAACATTCGGAAACTCCGAAAAACTATATTCAACAAACACGTGCACGCAAAAACTCCGGAAATCCAACAAATTGAACACCAACAAACTCGAAAATCGAAGAATGCGACAATTCTGACAAACAGCAATGGCGCGAAACGTTCGAAAGTACGAAAAATCGGAAGACGTCAACAAAAAAAAAAAACACGGCTTCGCCGCGAACACACAAACTCAAAAAATCAAACAAATCAACCAACAAAGGGCGAGAAACATTCCGAAAGCAACTCGAAAACTCGAAAACACACAAAAACAGTCTGGAGAAAAGTCGTAATGTCGCCAAGAATCCGATCTTGAAAATGCACATCAAATACATGCAAACAACAAAAACTACGGTTTTGGCTCTTGAGTTCTCTCTGTTCTTGCCGTGTTAAGTGGTCTTCTCGTTTGGAGCTTCTCGTTTTCCTGGCCGAAAAGCCGCGCGGAGCAATCTGGCCCCTGGTCCATCGCCTTGGGCTGCCCTTTGGGGAGTCCCCCGGGGCGATCGAGCGGTGGAATCCTCCGGAACTTCCCGCCTCCTCCTCAGCGAGGCCCGAGCTGTGCATGGACACGCGCCCGCTCTGGTGGAGGATGGCCTGGGGTCCATTCATGTGCGTCAAACCAATCTGGAGAAGGAGATCCACAAGAGAATAAGGATTCGTTTAGGCTCGGTACCCTTTTGGAAAAGAAAGCAACGCAACCCAGCTTTTGGGAGGAGGTCACATTGGGAGAAAACGCGCCTTCCAGAAAACTCAATGCCCGGCAACCCCAAAAAAGCCCACCCCCCAACCCAGTAGGGCAGGGGCATCCACCTGTTAGCTGTTAGCCGCTGACGCATGTAGCCCTTCTCTGGAGTAGGTCTGTGCATGTGTCTCTGTGTATACGCACGCACGCGTGTGGGCGTGTATAAAATGTGCGTACATATAACTCTAATATTTAGTGTATGCATGCATGCGCGTACATGCGTATGTGTGTAGGGTTAGATGTCTACGCATGTTATGTATATATATATATGTATATATATATATATATATATATATGTATATATATATGTATATGTACACATGCATAGGCATATGCCTATGTGTATGTATATGTATATGTATGTATGTATGTATGTATGTATGTATGTATGTATGTATGTATGTATGTGTGTATGTATGTATGTATGTATGTATGTATGTATGTATGCATGCATGCATGCATGCATGTATATATATATGTTTGTGTGTATGTATGTGTGTATGTATGCGTGTATGTATGTGTGTATGTATGTATGTGTGTATGTGTGTATGTATGTATGTATGTATGTATGTATGTATGTATGTATGTATGTATGTATGTATGTATGTATGTATGTATGTATGTATGTATGTATGTATGTATGTATGTATGTATGTATGTGTGTGAATGTGTGTATGGATGTCTGGATGTATGGATGTAGCGTGTATGTGTGTATGAATGTAGGCGAGTATGCATGTATGCATGTATGAGAGTATGCATGTACGCATGTATGCATGTATGCATGTACGCATGTGTGCATGCATGCATGTATGCATGGATGTATGGACGTATGGATGTATGGATGTATGGATGCATGTATACATGTATGCATGTATGCATGTGTGCATGTATGTATGGATGTATGGATGTATGGATGTATGCATGCATGCATGTATGTATGCATGTATGTATGTATGCAGGTAGGTAGGTAGGTAGGTAGGTAGCAATGTATACGCGCCAGTATGCGCCACTCTGATGGTCTAAGGCGTTGCCCCGGTTTGGATAGCAAGTGGCCCTGCCTAACCGAGAGTTCAAGGCTGCAGCTTGACGCGGCATCCTACATGTTCAAGCAAAGCTGTCAGAGCTTGACACCGTCCGTCATATATGTTCAGCTCCTCAAACTACCATCCTTCAACCCAAGTAAGAAGACTTTGTCCTGGGCGGTGGCTCTGCCTTCCTTGTGAGGTTGCCACCATTTGTGCAAAATAACAGCCGCGGCCAATACTTGATGGTTTTGGGTGAGTGAATGCCCTGGATTTTCGTAGATGACAGCAAATATTGACCAACCCGTTGCTCATGTTTTTGCTCACTTGTTCGTCCCCAAACCGAGCCCGAAGAGTTTCGTGGCGCACATCAGTCATCTCTACAGCAGCACGCCAGCCCTCCCCCAAAACTAAGGAACACCAACGCGGCTTCCAATCTAAGGGACATCGCCAGCACCTACAATGAAAACTCACTCTAAACGGGCCTTTGCACAAAGGTGGCGTTCGACCTGCGCGTGAAATCACCGAGGATAAGGACATCCATGCCCCAAGCGCCCGTTTGCAACGCTGTCACAAGGGGAAGAACCCGCGCAAGGGAACCACGTCAAGCCGAGGCGCACCGTACCGCGGGTTGAAGCTCCTCACGTGCAGCGTTGAACCACGCCGCTCCGCATTGGGCGCCTTGCATCGCACGGAAAACGCGTGAGCGCAAACTGGCCTTGTGAAAATCCAGGCCTAAACGCGGAACTCCAGTGTTCCACCAACGCTCTCAGCAAACCTGAGCTAAACACAAACTTCAGCTGAGCTCTAAAGAGCTGGACTTCGTGCCACGTGAGTGATTCATCCAACTATCCAGCGGACTTCTGTTTTCTCATGTAAGTTGAATAAGTAAGTAAACACATGTAAGCTACATATATACATATATAATTATATATATATATTCGAAGTAAACACCTGAAACATGGAATTTTGTATGGTTTTAACTCCCCGTGCTCCTTTCACTCGACTTGGGACATCTCTCGCGCCTGGAGCGCCAGTTGCGCGAGGTCCAGGGAGATGCCCAGCTCGAAGTTGGCCATCAGCTGCCTGACGTCAGCTCCGTCCGGCGAGCGAGCGAGCCGACCCAGCGGTGTCCCCAACCAACAAGCCCTGCCGCAGGAAGAGTTCGAAGCTTGCCAGTCAACAACTCCAAATTTTGGGACAGCGAGAAAATCAAACTCTCGCAATCCGCCTTTTGGTGCTGTTCAAAAGGGAAGCTTGAAGGGAACCGGCTTTGATGTCTTCTGTGGTTCCCTTCATTCAAAAGGCACCTCCAAAAAAGAAACACTCAACAGCATCTGCCGCAACAACACACTCGAAACCCTCCCCCGGAACAAAAACAACAAAAACGCACCTTGTTGGGCTAATCAAGGAGGGCAAAGTCAAAACCTGGTCTTCAGTCGAAAGAAAAAATGTTACTTTTTCTCAACCCATGAGCCAAGTTTGTTTTCCGGCCCCCCCCCCCAAAAAAAAATGACGAAAAAACGAAACAACGACACTCAAACCCCTTTCCCAACACCCTCTGCCGCACTAAAAGCAATCGGATGTTGAAGCGAAGTTCCCCCCCCCCAACCCCCCACCCCACCCCACCCCCTCCCCACCCCACCCCCCGCGCCTCACCCGCACCCCGCGGAGCTGCGCCGCCTCCGCCGCCCGCGCCGCCGGGGCGCCCCCGGCGCTCGCCGCCGCCTGGGCGCGCAGCGCCTCCTCGCGGCCCAAGGTGATCTGCACCGCCGCCTCCGCGGCCGAAGGCAACGGGCCACGGGCGGGGGGGGGGTGAAATATATGTCGGGGGGGAGGGAGGGGAAAGGGGGGGAAGGGGGGGGGAGGAGTGGCGGGGGTAAGGACCGCTATTTGTCCATGTTGTTTCCTATACTATCTCTTCTTTTCTTTTCTATTTTTTTTTGGGGGGGGCGGGGGGGTGATCCATATTCCATTTGGGGCTCCAGTTTTGACCATGGGGTTCTGTTCCTATTTAGTTGCTTTTTAGGGGGTGTCCCCAATGGGCATCCCATGTAAAGGACCTTTTGATCAACCCCCATGTAGGTCTCTGAGCAAGTGCTGGACTTGCTGGTTCAATAGGGGAATGAGACATGGAATGAGGTTTCCTTTGTTGGAGGGGTCTCTATGAGAATCTTTCCAACCAATGGAGACTGGTGGGATAAAAGTCAAACGGAGCGTATCCCTTTACAATCTGTGCAGCGAGACCCTCTCATTGATAAGCAGGTCATCTTGGATGGCACATGCACGTTCAAACATGGCAGTAAACCCGCTGTGGGGTTGTTGGGGGTTCCCAACCCTACAGTGCATGAGCCCTCTGGCTTGCAAACTGCTGTTGGAAGATGCCCTCAAAAGCCCCCGCCTCTCGCATTTTTCATGGTATTTTGAGGATGTCGCTTAGATGTCGCGTAGAGTAACAGGCGATTGAACTTCCGATGGTCCAAAGTGACACGTCGACGTGTCCCCAGCCTCAGGTTGCAGAGCGATCGCTGTTGCCAGCTCCTCGTCCTCGCAGCGGTTTTTAGATGCGGGACCGCGAGTCGTCGTGTTTATTTTTTTTCCACTTGGCCATGGGTCAAAATCCAAATCGTACCCTCAGTGAAAATCCCAATCCCCACAAAAATAGACTAATAGACTACAACGGGTGGTGCAACTACCAAAATGGTACCATTGGTTTTGACCCACAGCCACTTCAACAACCCGACAAGAGACAGGAAAAGCAAGCACACCCCCGTGAGGGCGTGAGAAGGGGGGAAGTTGACCAGACAAATGCATTTTGTCATGGGCTAGGGAATGCCAAAAGGGCGATCTCTGTCAACGGACCAGCGCACATTCGTCGGTTCTTCACAAGCCCTCATTTGACGGATAGGTTCATCACTGCTCTTTGTGGAACTGATTGAAGATGCTGTACTAATGTCCAAACTCATCAATGAGAGGAGTCCCAAAAATGCCCAAAAGACATCAACCATTTGTGGGGTTCCCGCATTTTGGGACACACCCGTGTATTGATGAAAACCCCAAACTCTTCAACCTCCGGTCTCGTTTTTCGGCTTGCTTTTTTCCAACGCAATGCCAGAGTCTGGGATTACTACTTTTCAACCAGAAACTCAGCCCCCCCGGAAGTTTCGCGACATGCCGCCAGCAGGGGAACCCTTCTGGCTCCGAGCCGTTAGTGGGAAATGGCTCCTTCTGCATGTGGCCACCGGACCTCTTTCTGTCATACCATTTAGTGGCTCATCCCATCCCGCGACGACTTAAGACTTCGGCATGAGAATTTGCTTGGCGACTCGCAGAAGCTGGCCCTAGCACCACAACCATGCGCTTCTGGCCGCTGCCCCCGTAAAAGTGTTTTCGCGAAGTGCGAGCTAGTTGTGCACGGCTGTCGTTTTCGGAGAGAAAGTTGAGAAAGGTGAATGCGAAATGCGTGCATATCAAGTTGGAGGTATCTTGTTTGGGGAACATGGTCTTGGTTGGCTTCGAAGAGACGCCAAAAGCCAGCTGACCCGGTTGGGGGGTCCCTTATTGTGAGACACCCCCATTTGCACTTGTTACTTAAGTCGCGTGTTTCAGGGCTGACCCGTTTGGGGGTTCCCTTATTGTCAAGAACAACCAATATCAACAAAAAAAAGAGTATTGATGTTGTTATCCGCTTGCTATCTTGAAGAAGGAGGGGCAAGGCAGCAGCTTCCCTTGCACCCCTCCTTGGCAGCCTCCAGCGGTGCAGCCTGAGGCCGGAAACCGCAAGGGGAAGCTGTCTTAAGCTATTGAAATGGAAGACTCTGGCTGCCGCATTTAGGGAACCAGAAAGCTGAAGTAACTTCAAGCTAGATTCCCCCTTGGTGAGTTGTCTAAGGCAAGCAAGAAGAACACCAGTCATTGCGGCTAGCACGACTGTCTTAGAAAAATAAGAAAAGCAAAACACATGGGAGAAGAGTGTCAAACATGGCCATCCTCGTGGTTTTCCTCTAAACCTGAAACACAACGGGCACCAGCTCCAAACAACGCACGCGACCCGACCCGGCCTCCGGAGACTCCAGCTCCACATCCTCCTCTGCCAGGCACCTCGGGCCGCTTGGCTTCTCACGACAGCCGCCCGCTCGGTTTCACCAACCCAGAGCCGGGTGGCCATGGGCCAAAATCCAAATCGTAGCCCCAGTGAACATCCGATTCAATCCAACCACTAAAATAGGTCCTAAAATGGGCGCTGAATTCACCTACCCTAAAATGATACCATTGGTTTTGACCCAGAGCCAGGCTGGTCTCTCTTCATGAACCTGCTGGTTGCTGACTGACCATGACACTGCCCCTTACCGCTCTTGCCTATGTCGCTTTGCTCATACGCTGCAAGCTTTTTAGCTTCAAGGCGCCAAAGAATGGAACAGAGGTCCTGGAAGTTCTACCCTTGAACTACGCATTGGATCTGGCCCGGACCTACTCTGGATGGCCATGGCCTTGCTGCTACTCCGGATGGCCATGGCCTTGCTGAAAGCTGAACCCAATTTCCGGATGCCGGCGCCAGCCTTTGGCCCTTGATCAGACTAGGGTGATGAAGCTTCTGAAGTTTGATGTTGACGGGAATAATAAACCCCTCCTATTATTATCCTGTTATTAGTAGGGGGTGTTGCCCTCCAACAGTGAGGGCAACACCCACTAAAAGGGGACACCCCCTATTAATCAACGAGGGGGTGATTGATCCAGGGTTGGCGTTACCAAATGGCAGTGTGCTACGGATATCTACCTGACATTGCCCTGCAAAACACTGATGTTACCAACGTGTTTTACCGCTCTCGAGTCACCGAAAGGCCGGCCGAATACCCCCCCCCAACCCCCCAACACCCCCCCCCTCACCCAGCCGCCATGGGCCCATTCCCATCACCGAAACCGGGTCAACCACCTCAGACCCAAAGAGCCCGGGACTCCGGCAGCTGATTCCACAGCGTCGACTCGTCCATCGCGGCGGAGGGCGTCGCTGTTTGGTGTTGGTACCCATGTGGCCATGGGGCATAACCTACGACTCCATTTTGGGGTGGATGAACATCCATTTGCCACCTATTTTGATGTTCACCAGGGGTACAGGGTTTTGACCAGCCACTCAGTTTTGCTTGCAGGGATAAACCCGACGAAAAGCCGCGGGCTTGTCCGAGGCTGCCCCATACGACAAACCCCTTGCCAAAAGAAATGCGTTCAAAGCAAGCCCCAAGAAGGGTCACTGTTTGGAGACATACCAAACAAAGCAGCAAGACTGTGGGTGTTTCAACTGGCTGCTGGGGTGAAGCTGTCCGGAGGCATGGTAAGGTGTTGCATGGCCTCAATTCATGAACCAAGCGGACTATGTTGTCCTTTCCCCTTCAACATTAACTACAAAGGGCCGTAGGATCGGTGTCTAACTGCAGTAAAGTCCTACTTTTTCTTTTCAATACTTCTGAGTTTGTTTCTGGAGCATGTGGGGCGATTTCCGACCCAGTCTCAGGCGAGGGTTCACAGGTTAACACCTCGCGCAGCCCAAGCTGCGGCCAAGCGGGCGATGGAGGTCGGCAAACGGGACACACCAGTGAGAGTTGCAGCCACTGGTGGGGAAGGCCGGCCTTCACGAACATTTGTTCAGTTTCATCTAGGTCCGCCAGTTTTGGAGGTTAGAATAAGGGTACCAACTTTTTTCTGTAGTCCATTTTAGTAAGGGATTCCTCCCCCCAAAAAGGGTAAAAGGGCACTACTGGGGGACCTAGTCATTGTTAAGAGTTCCCTGCCACAGTTGACAAATCCAACCTCATTCAGCCTTCGAACTGGCTCAAACTGGCTCAGGATCTGCTACTTGAATCTGGTGTCACTGAGTCACCTCACGCAGAAACCGACCATCAAACTGACCGGGCTGTGCCTAAGATGCCAGCCATTTCAGGCAACCATTTCGTTGATTCATGCTGGTCGCAGTTGCCCGATCACCACCCCCGCACACGCAGATCCCTCATCCACTGAAAAGGTGCCAAGATGTCGTAGTTCCTAGGCTATCACCCCTTCAAGCCAGTCGCAACCATCCTGAGGTGACCTGGCTCCTGAACTGGGAAGTTCCCTTGCTTGGTCACTGGTGGCCCAATGGAAAAAACAACGTGCCTTGTTGTTGGTTGATTTGGAAGAGGCCACGAAACCATCCGAATCATTATCCAGTAGAATCCATCGATGTTTCAGTTCACTCACTCGGATTTCCTAGCGTTCTTGGGACACTTTTGGGACCTGCATGGACACGGGTCCCAAGGACTGCCTGTTTTTGACCAGACACCTGGGTCTGCTATCCTCCTGTTCCAACGGACCTGACGTGACACAGCCGTCGAGTCCCAAGGCCTCACATGCTGGGCGCGCCGGGACAGCGCCTCCGCGCCTGAGCGGGAGCACCGAGAACCCAAAACGCATCGGAGCCCCTTGGGTGTCTCTCGAATTTGTTCGGGCGCGGCTCAAAAGTTCAAAGAGCTGGGGGTACGCAGGTTTTAGTCGTTGGTTCCATTTAGACAAATGCCAAGGTACCATGTTGGTACATTTTTCTGAGCCACCGCCAAACCAGGAAATGGACCCAAAAAAGGTGTTTTCCTGAAGGTGTCTTTTCAAACCGGCCAAGCGCCTAACGATGGCTGAGGGTCGGCCAAATCCGAATGCAAACCAAAAATAGCAGACCAGGGGTAACATAAAATCGGGAGGTCCCTTGGTGTCCCTTTAAACCAACCCAGAAAAGGGACCCGCCAAAGACAAGACAGCCCCACGAATAGGTGGTCAACACTTTGACTAGTTTACGCGAGACAAACTGGTCGAGAAACTTGGTATCTCAAGCAAGGGATAACGCTCACACACACTCACACACACATACACACTCACACACACACACACTCTCACACACACACACTATATCCACATTCGGCGTTGTGCTTGGTATGCGTGGAACTGCGGAACCCCATCATGTCCGTCCAAGTTCACCCTACTAAATTTGGAGCAATGAATCTCAGCCCCCCAAATGCTTTTTTCAAGAAAACCTGCCCCAAAAGGCACATCTACACGACCCGCTGCTCCATCCGGCCTTCAAAAGCCACCAGCTTGTGGCAAACATGCAACTGCATCCCTTTCCGCTGCAGTCTTTCAACTGGTCTCATAAGTTCACATTCTCATTCTCGCTCCAGCATAGTCTCCCCGAAACGGACATTCTGGGGCAAGCACGATTTGCTTGGATGTATTCAAGTGCGGGGGAATCTCTCCCACTCGCGGAGTTGATTCTTGATCATGCAAACAGAAGAAAAGTAGTAGTTGATAATTTTCTCTCGCTGCGAAACCCCACCTTTGAAAGAAAATGAAGGGGCCTCTACCTCAAAAAGGTGGTGTCCTTTTCCCTGAAGACCAGCCACAGTGGTCCGTTGATTTCTGAAACGTTAAACCATAGCTGGGAGATTGTTAGGATATGTCAGACATCCGTCTAAACGCTAAGATCCCCAAGAGTGCCAACTCCTCAGCACCTGAGGCCCCGGCCCTGCAATGCCAGCACGGAGCCATTGGTCGCCGCGCGCCGGGCGACAGTTCCGGCCCTGGAGTCAAACAGCTTCCCTCCAGGAAACCAGCGGCAAGGACTACTTGTTCAGGAGGTTCTGGCTGGATCTGGATCTCGAGAACTGCACAAATTGAACCCCTTTGCTGTATTTCATGATATATGGTGGTTGATCTAAATTCCTTTGTCTCGAAACGGCCATTCTTCGCGAATATAAAAGTTACTTTCGCGAATCTTTCGCGGATTCATCGCCGTGCTCTTTTCATTTCTCGAGTCGGAGAATCGCAGCTTTTAAGTGCCAGCGTTGTAAGCGAAATGACGATTTCCCAACTCCAGCTGTAAAGTCGCAACTTTTCATCACAGGGGTAGAACATGACATGCGCCGGCTGGAAAGTCGCAGCTTTTCGTTCGCCGTGCAGCTCCAAGCTTGAAGTCGCAGATTTCCAGTACCAAGCTAGTATACTGGCTAGATCGGCGCTCAGACTATACCTCCCCTTGCAATCAAAGCCTGCGCTTTCGCGCAGGCTTTCGCGGATCTTTCGCGAACTTTCGCGAAAAATCACCCACGTTTCAGAGCGGAAAGCCACCGACTAACACCCACAGACACACATACACAGGCTTGGAGCACTAACCAGCCAAGCAGGGTATCAAACTGTAGCCTCACCAGGCTTAATCAGCGCAACATCAACAAAGTGTTTTAATCAGAATAGAAGGAAGGCTCAGCAGAAAAGATGAACGGTTCCACATATCATTGATTAACCAGATACAGTTACGCAAAACTTTCGCGAGAAAAAAAGTTACTTTCGCAACTCCATCGCGAATCTTTCGCGGAGCTACCTCAACCAACACCGATGGTCACCGAATACTAAACTCCTTGCAAGGACCTTTAGAACGACTCCCATATTTTCGAGTAGATCCCAGGCGTCATCCCAAAAACCCAGTAGTAGAACCAACTGCTAAAATGGGCCGGCCTTTTGGGTGCTCATCCTGGTTGACTTTCGGAGCCGGACTGGAAGGCCGAGCTTCTGCTTCACACGACTGCAGAATCACTCAGCTGTGTTAGAGCAAGCGCTGATATACGCCGGGATGCCCCGGGTTACATTAAACGCTTTGATCAGCTTCTGGCAACCTGAACTAGTGTATTGTACGCAACTGCTTCAGCTTCCCCATCCGGCAACATGCCATGCGTTGTCAGGCACGAGAAAAACAAGCAGCTCTGCTCCGAAAATGGGAAGCAAACAGGGGGAGTCCAATTAAACCAGGTAGGAGAACCAGGAACCACCTAACATTTAAAATGGACAACGGGGTGATCAAATGGCCCTTGATTCGGAAAACCAAAGGCCCTAGCTGCCCTAGCTGCAAGGAAAGCTTCGTCCAACAGAGTTTTTGGTAGACACAAAAAGTGTCAAGTCCAGAAACTCGGGAAGCAATCCACCCCTCGAAAAGTGACGCCCACCCAAACAGGCCACCCTTCTTGCATGAAAACCAACAAGCGACTCCTTCATTCCAAATCCTCGTTCCAGAGTTTTGGCGCCAAAGGTCGCAAGCAACACTTCAAAAAGCGGATGCCAAGCATGGGTTTTCATCTGACTGTCCCCAGAATGCCCTTCAAGACACTGGGAACTTCCATACACGCCGCCAAACTTGGCTGATGTCAGCCTTGCTCGTCTGAAAAGCCAAGGCTGACTCAAGTTTCTTCATTTGGGTGTGTTGTTTGATGGCAAGGTGTCTGCGTTTGAAGAAAACCCACTTTGGAGCAAGCCGCAGGCAGATCCCAGCGGTTTTCTCGGTCCATCGCTTCCCACGAGGTCGGTCGCGCCTGTCCGCCCGGCACAAGGAGTGCACCGCCAGCGAGGAGAACACGAAACCCGTGGTGGGCCCGGCCAGGAGGACTCGGCGCAACCGCAAGGCGAGACGAATGGCGCACAGAACTGCGGCCCGGAACAGATCCCCAAGCGCAAGGAAGCCCCATTCAACCAACCAACCAACCAACCAACCAACCAACCAACCAACCAACCAACAAACCAACCAACCAAACAACCAACCAACAAACCAACCAACCAAACAACCAACCAACCAACCAACCAACCAACCAACCAACCAACCCACCCGCCCGCCCGCCCGCCCGCCCACCCACCCACCCGGCAACCAACCAACCAACCAACCAACCAACCAACCAACCAACCAACCAACCAACCAACCAACAAACCAACAAAACCAACAAACCAACAAAACCAACAAACCAACAAACCAACAAACCAACAAACCAACCAACCAACCAACCAACCAACCAACAAACCAACAAACCAACCAACCAACAGACCAACCAACCAACCAACCAACCAACCTACCCACCCACCCACCCACCCACCCACCCACCCACCCACCCACCCACCCACCCACCCACCCACCCACCCACCCGGCAACCAACCAACCAACCAACCAACCGAACAACCAACCAACCAACCAACCAACCAACCAACCAACCAACCAACCAACCAACCAACCAACCAACCAACCAACCAACCAACCAATTAACCAATTCACACAAATATCCAATTAACCAACCAACCAAACAACCAACCAACAAGCAACCCAGGAAGCAACTAAGCAAGCGACCGAGCAACCAAGCAACCCAAACCCACCACCCCACCCACCCAACAACCAACCAAACAAAACGCCCCACCCATCCGCCCAGTCACGTGGGGTGTGCTCAGGCCCGAGCCCCCGCCCCCGGCGCCAAAGAAGGCGGCGAAGACCACGGCACGGGCGCCGGCACCGGCGCCGCCTGCCGCCACTCTGAAGAAGGCGGGACCCATGGTCACGGTCATAAGATCCTGTTTGGAATATAGATGGCCCTGCTAGATGGAATAAACCAATCTAAACCAGTGCCATCTATGTCTAATCAAGCTAACCTAAAAAGGACGCCTATGGTCATGCACCCCCTCTCCCTGGGGTGGTCGTGGGTGGCTTCAGGTTGGTCAAAGTTGGTTAAAAAGCAAAATACATAAGGGGATGGCTGGAAACCACCAAGAAACGTGTTCTATCGGAGCCTCTTGTTGTGGGTGCTCCTTTTGCGGTCATCAAATGCGGTGTTCTCGGTGCCACCCACTGTTCCACAGCCTGCTGGTGGTGCGTCCGCAGCCACCTCTGCCATCTTCAAACCTCAGCAAAGCAAGCAACAAGAAAGAAAGGAAGGAAGGAAGAAAGGAAGCAAGGAAGGAAGGAAGGAAATCAAATATGGTAGCATTCAGGCTTGTCCAGCGCACAGATTTGGGGTGGTAGAATCAAAGGGAAGAAAAGAAAGAAAGGAAAGAAAGGAAAGAAAGGAAAAACAAGAAAAGAAAAGAAGGGACAGAAAGAGAAAAGAAAGAAAGAGAAAAGAAAGAAAGAAGAAAAGAAAGAAGAAAAGAAAGAAGAAAAGAAAGAAGAAAAGAAAGAAAGAAAGAAAGAAAGAAAGAAAGAAAGAAAGAAAGAAAGAAAGAAAGAAAGAAAGAAAGAAAGAAAGAAAGAAAGAAAGAAAGAAAGAAAGAAAAGAAAGAAAGAAGAAAAGAAAGAAGAAAAGAAAGAAAGAAAGAAAGAAAGAAAGAAAGAAAGAAAGAAAGAAAGAAAGAAAGAAAGAAAGAAAGAAAGAAAGAAAGAAAGAAAGAAAGAAAGAAAGAAAGAAAGAAAGAAAGAAAGAAAGAAAGAAAGAAAGAAAGAAAGAAAGAAAGAAAGAAAGAAAGAAAGAAAGAAAGAAAGAAAGAAAGAAAGAAAGAAAGAAAGAAAGAGAAAAACATAAAGAGAAGAAAGATAAGATAAGAAGAAAGAGAAAGAGATAAGAAAGAGAAGAAATGAAAGATAAGACACATAGTGAAGAAAGGAAAGACAGAAAGTTTTGAAAGAAGATAGATAAGAAAGATCAGACAGGAAAGAAAAGAAAAAGAGAAGAAGAAGCAAAAGAAGAAAAGAGAGAGAAAAGAAAGAGAGAGAAAAGAAAGAGAGAGAGAAAGAGAAAAGAAAGAGAGAGAAAAGAAAGAGAGAAGAGAAAAGAAAGAGAGAGAAAAGAGAGAGAAAAGAAAGAGAGAGAAAAGAAAGAAAGAGAGAAAAGAAAGAAAAAGAAAGAAAGAGAAAGAAAGAGAAAAGAAAGAAAGAGAAAAGAAAGAAAGAAGAAAAGAAAGAAAGAAAGAGAAAAACATAAAGAGAAGAAAGATAAGATAAGAAGAAAGAGAAAGAGATAAGAAAGAGAAGAAATGAAAGATAAGACACATAGTGAAGAAAGGAAAGACAGAAAGTTTTGAAAGAAGATAGATAAGAAAGATCAGACAGGAAAGAAAAGAAAAAGAGAAGAAGAAGCAAAAGAAGAAAAGAGAGAGAAAAGAAAGAGAGAGAAAAGAAAGAGAGAGAGAAAGAGAAAAGAAAGAGAGAGAAAAGAAAGAGAGAAGAGAAAAGAAAGAGAGAGAAAAGAGAGAGAAAAGAAAGAGAGAGAAAAGAAAGAAAGAGAGAAAAGAAAGAAAAAGAAAGAAAGAGAAAGAAAGAGAAAAGAAAGAAAGAGAAAAGAAAGAAAGAAGAAAAGAAAGAAAGAAGAAAAGAAAGAAAGAAGAAAAGAAAGGAAAGAGACAAGAAAGGAAAGAGACAAGAAAAGACAAGAAAGAAAAAAGAAAAGAAAGAAAAGAAAGATGCGCCAGAGAGGGAGAATCGAACTCCTGCCTGTCCCCAGACCCCGTGGACTGAAGCCACGTCCAGGCACCAGCCTGACTCACCCTGGCCTGCTGATAATCCTGGGGCCCTTAAACTTTGACTTTCTTCTGGAAAGGTGAGAACTAGGCGCATGGCTTGAAAAGAGATGTTGTGCTTGCCCAGGCTCACTTGCAAACGGCAGCAGGATGGCATCAAGCTTTCACTCGTTTTTTTGCTGCATTGCCAAAGCAGTCGCACTCACCGTTTTGCTGCTTGCCACTTCATGGGTCGGCCCTAGCTGTGTCCAAAGATCGGATTTTTGCGCTTGGGAAGCAGATAATCCACGACTGAGTGATGCTTGTTGAGTCTTCCCAAACCTTCGCATCCGATCTTTCGGCTACTTTGGGGGCAGCGGGCCGCCCCAGAGCCTCTCCTGCTTCGCCTTGAGCACAAAGAAGTCCTCGCCTGACAGCAGCTGACCACTCCCAATTGTTTTTCAAGTCAACCCAGGCGTAAAAAAAAAGAAGAGTGTGCCCGTCTCTAGTTTGACAGATTATGCCCCAATTCCGTGTGTCGGACAACAATAGGGGCACCCCCCAAAATGGGGCTGTCCAGAGAAGCCTTTTGATGTCCCACCCTAAAAGTGACAGGTCCCGAGCCTCGAAAGGGATGTGACTTGGTCCAGGTCTTCTGCACTTATCGCTGCGGTGCCCAGCCATCAAGATGTGGCCACCCAAAAATCCGAGCACCCGCACGGGTCGCGGGCGACAGCCTCACGCGGTTGCCACCCACCCTGAGGCAGGCGAGGCGTGATTGGACAACTTGGGTGCGATTTGGCAGCCTCTTTTCAGGATTCTTGGGCTTTCTGGCCAGCTGCAATATTGCATAAGACGCCTTCTAGAACCATTGAAACGAAGGCAACGGACAGGTCCATTGCGATCTCCCAATGGCCCAATGTACAGCTTCCAACAGATGTTGACACCTGACGCTGCTTAACTCCTAACTGCCGCGTTTCGGGGGTTCGTCAAGGGTCCCGCTCCCAACAGCAACATCCTCCCCCGCAGAAACTGGCCGGGGGAAATAGGGGGGTTCGAGCAAGCAACTGGTAGACCTTGCTACCAGTTCCATTTGAGTCAGAATCAACATCTGGTATGCAAATGGTCCACCCAAAACCATGTCAGGAATCAACAGGGCGGATTACTGCACCCATTTCTGGTTGGGACCATCCCTTCATTTACCAGCCAGGTTTTGAGCCACGTGGCTCATTTGGGATGAGCTTTTGGCCCGCTCTCCGCCTGCCGTTCTGCTTCTCCTGCAAGGCCTTGGCGCAGTCACCTCAGGAGCTGCGAGCTTCACCGAGCCAGTCGGCCGCTTTCTCAAGACACCCGCTCTATTTGGCTGCGAGTCAACAATGGGTACCCAAAATGGGTTGCCCTGGTAAATCAAAACCAACGACTAAAACCTGCGGTCCAATTCCCACACCCATTTCCGTATTGTGCTTTACTTGCCGTTTCTGAGAAGGTTGTCACATGCTTCCAGTCTTGCGTCGAACATGTGACTGTGGCTCAAAAAAAAACGGTACCCAAAAGGAACCTGGTAATTGGAAACATGGAAACCAAAACCTGGAAGTTTGCCCCTGCGATCGTATTTTGAGCCACACCCATGTTTCTCGCCCAGGCTTCCAGGCTTCCTCGCTCCCAGCTTTTTGAAACCCGAGTTGGGCGGGGCTCGAGCAAACGTGTACTTGCAATCAACAGCGAGCTCCCCGAAAAATACGCTTTCGGAGCGAAAAACCGCGAAAGCTCTTCGCTTGAGTGTCCAATTCTTGTGGCCTGATACCGGACTTGAGGTGTTTTGGCATGGCTGACAGCGCAAGTGCGATGTTGCCGGTGTTTTCGTGTGCACCGTCGGCAAGTGCAGCCCCACCGTGGGAAGACAGGGAGAATGTTTGGAAAAGTACAGCAGAAGCTGACAACATGGAAGCTGACAGAAGCGTTTTGACAACATGTCCATCATGCGGACAAGCTGGGTTGGTCAAAGGGGGCGGGAGGATCCATACCCGACCCGTTATCCGTAATGGGATACCACTAAAGCAGGAGAAACCACGATTCTCTGGCGTAAGGATCAAGGATCGAGGTTGAACAAGGGGTTGGTTCACCATTCTTTTCCACCCTCGTTCTTTCGAACACCAGCCCTTTTCCCCGGGGTTTCTGGAGGATATCTCCAGAAAAAAGGCTCCCTACTCCAGGGCTGTGGGGAATGACCACTTCTGCGATACAACAGAAAGGGCTTCCCAAAGACTATTTTCTTCATATAAAGGGGGATTCCCTTGTATCACAGAAGTGGGGAGAAACCCCTTGATCCCACAATCCTGATCCCTACAAAGAGTGGGGGGAGGGTTTCCCCGAGACCGGCCGCACGATGCGCAGGGAATCCACGCCTAGCCTTCCCTCGGGCCCCGGGCCAAAGCTATTGAACTCGACGATGGCCTGCGGCGCTGGTGCCCAGCCCCAAACAAATCCGTCGGATTGATCCCTACCGGAGAAACAGACGGAGGAAAGGCCGGTTTTGTTTTTTTTGAAATGGAGGTTTAAAGGGAAACCGCAACTTTGGGCAGGTATAGGCGTGCCATCAAACATTTGCGGATGTCCGGTGTCAGTTGAAAGAATGAAGCGGCCCACGGGTGTCACGCTTTTCGGATGTTGTGCCTGGCCCGCGTGGGGAGGTTGCTGTAAAGCTGAAGGGCATGTTGGGGGAGCGGGGGTCCACCATTCTAACACACCCATGGCTCAGCTGCTTGAATTACCCCGAATCTGATCCAAGCGAAAAGCCACATGAGTTTCTGACCATTTGGTATGCGACTCAGAACGAGGCAGGAACCCCTTTTTGTGCCGATGGAAACCAGGATTTGCCAACCAAATTTCGAGGCGAGTACATTTGACGCATCTCCTTGGGCACCGAGAGGCGGATCTTCTTGAGTATGTCTCATTTTTCTTGTTGTGGTCTTTACCTGCATTTGATTGGGTGCTTTCGCTTGGTGTGAGGTCCTGGGGTATCTGCTTGCTTGCCAGGGACTTGTTGATCCTATGAAAACACGTCGCGTTCGGCAGCTGTCCGGTTGAGCGGGTAGTGGCACGGGAAGAGGTGCCATTCCATCAAATCTGCGTGGATTAGCACCATTCACCCAGTTGAATTTTACGGGAATGGTTGAAAACAACCGCGCTTGCGAGGTCGCTATAACTTGCCCAAATCTGATACAACCACGGCGCTGGTCGAAATTTCAAGGCAGCCCGGCCCTACATGCGGAGCCAGGGCCGCGTTGACGACGTGGGTATGGGTCAAAACTAAATCACCATGGAAACTGCAGGTTTTAGTCCTTGGTTCCATTTACCAGGGCACCCCATTTTGGGTACCCATCGTTATCGTTGACCCACAGCCACATGGCGCAGGAGTGCCACACCGTACCCCTCCAAGAATCCAAGTTAACAGCTTCGGGCTTGGGGAAGACGACGGAACGTCCTTTTGAGACAGCCCCCTCCGCTCCACACATGGTTTGACAGTTCAGAGGCTACGTCGCTGAAAAAGTCGGGTTCATATGAAAATTAGGTCAAAATCCAAATCGTACCCCCGGTGAACATCCGCTTCAATCCCCACTGTAGGTTCCAAAATGGGTGGTGAATTCACAAACCCCCACCCAAACTGGGATCCCATTGGCACCTACCCACCAAACTGGGCTCCCAAAACGGTTTTGACCAAACCACGGCCATGTCTGACTTGAGGTTCCGTGAGCCCAAACAAACTCCGTGCAGTCTGCATCGCCTCCGAGTCCAGGTCACGGATGCGGGCCTCGCGGAGTCCCGGGTCGCTGGAGTCAGGTGGGATCCCTCGAGGGCTGAAGTTGGATTCATTGGACCAGGTCCCCCAGAACCATGTAAAGAACTGAGAAGGCGGCCGCAGCTATTTATCGCTGGGATCGTCCCTTACTAACCTTCGTCTAGCCAGGTTTTGATTGTGACTCACCTGGCGTTGCCAACTCAATCGAGAGGTCCAGGATCCCCCTTTTCTGTTTGGGGGGGGGGGGGAGGCCAAGCATGGCGGGAGTGATAGCCTCTGAACCTGGTGGATTCATTGAACAGGCGCTTCCCCGCAGTGAAGGGTTCCAGCAAACAAAAAATCGCCCCGTAAACGCAACGCAGCCTTTCGCCTGTGCCCTCAGCCTTCGCCAACAAGAAATTGCCTTCTTAGATTCCAGATCAGCAAGCCCTCTCTGAGGGTGTCTTTATTTAAGGGCCGCCCAACATGGTGGTTGTCCTTTTGCCTTCCTCATAAATCCAGCAAAAAGGGTTGTACCCTCACTGTGCGTGCCTCTTGAATCCAGCAAAAAGAGGGAAAACCCTCAAAAACAGACACACTCGTGGATTCAAAGGTCCCAGCTCGCTTGCTTTCCCTAAGGCGGGCACCACTCCATAGCTGATGAAGAGCTTGAAAAGGTCAGACCTCAGTGCAGCACCTCAAAGGCAACTCTCTTCAAAAAAGGCGGAAAGAAATGGTTAGCTTTAAAGCTACCAGCTACCAGAAGGCGAAACGAATACCCTGATTCCGGACATGAGCAAGCATGAGCCGACGAAGCTCACCTTGGAGAAAGCACCGAATCCACAAGACATCGCCCACAACACCAGGACCAAACCACAACAAAGGCTGCCCCTTTCCGGCCCAGGCTGCACCTCTTGACTTGCATGACTTCAAATGTCGGGGAACCAAACTCTGCCAAGTCAAAGTCCGTAGGCTTCCACACGCCAGACTTTAGAAACCAGAACAAACAAACTCTTTGTGTGCCACAAAAAAAGTCATCCCAAAGTCCAGGAACTCGGCGAGTCTGAAAACCTTTTCCGAGCGCCCGTGCTGCATCTTGGTCTGTGGGAGGTTCTGCACCCGAATGAACACGTCCGGCACCTGCTCGCTCGGTACCCAAGCAGCGCCCAGAGATGCTCCCATTCAAGCGAATCGATCGGAAGGGGAAAACCCAGTTGGCCCCCAAAGAAGGAAAACAAAACGGGTGACTGTAATAGCGGGAGTTGTTTTAGGTTTGGAAAAAAGCACTTGCTTCGAAGACAAAGAGCATACAGCATCTGGCAAAAATGTGCAAGATGCTACAAGATTCTCTACCACCTGGGTTTGTCAAGATAGGACCCTTGCAGAATGGGGTTTCCTTTTGGTTTCCCAAAAACCCACATAAATAAAACGGTGTATTTGGCGCAAACGTGATTCCTCTGCGCGTTGGACGGGTAGCAACGAAATCACAGCATGATTTCCCAGGGTCCGATGTGATAAAATGCTCGTAATATACGGGGCGAAATAATCTTCACATGCAATATCATCTTACAACATTGGCTCAAGTTGGTGGCAAATCATCACAACTCCATTCTATCCATTTCGGCCCTTACAGTACACTGACTCCAAGCGAGGGAGGGAAAATTGGGCGCTTCAGGCAAAACTAGGAACCCTTTCATGCTGCCCTAGCGGGAGTCCGCCAAAGTCTAGACATGTTGGATGGACTCTGCCAATTGTTGAGCTCTTTTTGCACTCTTTTACACCTTTCCAAGGGGGGGTCCATCAGTGCGGCATCCAAAGCAGACCCCAGAAACATGAGCCGGTCATTTCAGGCAACGCCGCAAGCTCCCGGTCCGCGCCTCAGGTGCCTCTCCTGCCGTGAGGAGAATGCGTCAAGCGAAACCCCCCCAACACACACCCCGCCCCCACACCTCAGAGGAAAGGAGTGGGCAAGCTGGCAAGGCCCATCGCCCAGTGCACTAGGCACTCCTGTTGGGTGCTTCTTTTGGGGGTCCCAATCCCCCTCTGTGGGGGGGGGGGTGTCAGGCCATGAGAAGGATGCTCTTTCTTGGGTGCCTGAGATCAGGGGCCGGAGATATTTCATGACGCTAGGTGTGTCTGGGGGCTGGGAACATGTGGCTCTCAACAGAACGGTCGATGGCCAAAAGTCGATCAAACACCTTGACGCAAGGCACGATACAAAGATGGCTACTGGCTCGGGGCCTAAAAAGCAGCTGCGGCCCCGTCTTTGAAGCAGCGGGGGCATGCTCTTGAGTGGCGTGTCGAAAAGCTTCGCAAAAATGCGAGAACGGGAATGAAGAAGCAGACAGTAGCAGCAAGGGCAGGTGCCCCAAAATCAGTGAGAACATCAGGGTCAGCCTTTTGGCGCCAAAACAGTACAGGATGAAGAGGACAGACAACAACAAAAAAAAAAACGGGGTTCGATTCGCCCCGATTCCATGTCAGCCGAAAAAGGGGGTCGGTGTATTTGGTTCCCCATTAAATTTGAAGACTGCTGCTTGTGCGAAGGAATCCATCCCGGGGACGGACAGCTGCTTGACTTTCCCACAAGTACTGATTCTTCCAACTGGGCCAGACTTAGACCCTTCACTTTTGGCCGGTCGAAATGGAAACTAAAGGAACACAACAGGCAAAAGAGTTGGCAAGGTACGCCTTTGCTTTGGCAATGACAAATCCAGAATGATGTCATGTTCGAGGTCCCTCAATTGAGAACCTGGTACTAAATACACAAAACCATGCAAAGAATCAGACGGGCGGATATCCGCACCTACTTTAATTCCGGCAACAGGGGTGTCTCTTACTATCGGGCTTCAATTGTGGCGCAACTCAACAAACCGGTACCCTTGACAAAACCGTATCCTTTTGGTTTCCCTCTCAGACCAACCTTAGGAATAACATTTAGGCCTGTGCTTGATTCCTTTCACATCTGGCCCAAAAACAAAGAACTTCCCAAAAATAGAAAAGCGGGTCTTTTCCCAGGGTGTCCATGAAAAACGATTTTGCGGTCAAACGATCCGAAACAGGGCTAACAGGCCCAAATTGCTCATCCCAAGACCAAGCCATGTGTTTCCCCCCAGAACACCACACGCCTCCCTGCCTGGCCGCGTGAAGTCCGCGCGGGGCGCCCCGATCTTCGCGAAGGCAATGGCCTTCCCGACCCGCAAGGCGCCTTTGGTTTTGCAGGTTGTTTTTCTGGGTGGGGCAAAATATGGTTTAAACACCACCTTTACAAGGGAAGAATCATCATAGCCAGGGGTTTAAACATGTTTAAATCAATGGGTGGCCCCACCCTAGTTTTTTTGGAGAAAGTGTTTTTCGCGTTTGGGTCACTGAATTTCCCCTTAAGTTGCAATTATACCGATGTCCATTGAAACGATCGCCATGTTTGGAGGTTCTAAGAAGGGAAATGGAGGAAACCCTGTCAAACCCAGATGCGGGACTAGAAAGGGCGTGTCTAGATTCTGGTCGTATTCTGTCTGGTCTTCGAGTGTGGTCCATAGTGATCACCTTAAAATGTAAGACGAGCTCGATGTTAGCGGGCCTGTTTCAGCTTTGACCTGACCCACCTCCAAGGGGGTTCGAAAGTTTGGGCTCCTAGCTTTGACAGCTTGGCATGCGCCAAGTTTGGGAAGGGATCTTGGTGTTCCTATTAGAAGTGAAGAACAGCTGTCTGTTCTTGCCGCAAGCTAACATGGAAGCTCCCAAGCCCCTTGGCCTTTGCCGAGCCTGGGGGTAACAAACTTGTTCGAGCGCCGTTGGCCAACGTCATGTTGCTCTATGTAAATGTCGTGAGCAAGATTCCACAAACCGAATGTGACCCCTGTCCCTCAGGCTCAGTGCAAGTTGCAAACCGAGAAGGCAGAGGGGGACTGAGTCCGCTTGGCAAGTGTGGCACTGCGAGAACAAGGGGCCCACCAACAGCTACCAACCACCAAACAAAGCATGCGACAGTTCCATGTGGGAAAGCGTGTAACATGGTAATGCACATGGAACCAAACGGCCAACACAAGGCCGCCGCAGAAGGCGTTGGGGGGTGGGGGATGATATGCTTTGCAACGAAAGTAGCAACACCTAACCCTGGAGCCACCAACTGAATTGGTCTATATTGAATGTATAGCAGGATGCCCAAAAAGCAAGCAATCCTATTGCATAGTCATGCATTGCTTCATGCACCCACTGACCGTCTCTCCCGCCTTTGCAGCAGACTCGCAGCTGTCAAAGGTCACATAGCCAAAGCCCCGCAACTGTCCTGAGACAACAAAGGACATGGATTGCACAAAAGGGCATGTCTTGTCCTCACTTTCCTCTCCTGGCATCTTACCATCATCGCGTCCATCCCATGGTCTCTCCATACATTTCCCTTGACCAGTCCACCCACATTTGGGGCAGGGTGCTCCTTTTTGTTACGCCATCATACAACACAGAAATGGGGGATGCCCCTGCGACCAACCGACCCACCCAACAAAACATCCGTCGAGAAACAATGTTCAGGGAAAACAAAGAACCACTTCGACAAAACAACCTCACTTGCAAAATTGCTTTCTCTTGGACCCATCAACGTGCAACCTGACCCGGTTTGGGGCGGGGGGGAGGGGAACACACGGGGGGGAGGGGGCTGGAAGGACCACCTCCTCCAAAAAAAGAAGTCGCTTCTCTGGTGGGCTGCAAGTTGGACAGGTGCCACTTTTCGGGTGCCTTCCCGGGCCCGGGGTCAACAACACCGCCCGTTTCCCCGCTTGAGGTTCCAGCCAGCATCCCGGTCGTACGGCAACGCCAGCCTGGGCGCTGAAAAACGCACCAGGGGCTCTCAGTGGACGATTCGCCCGTCTCAGACTGGGCCCAAGTCCCCAGTCCGTCACGGAAAAAAGGCGGCCAACTCAGAAAACAAGAAGAACAAAGAAACAGCTATGTGGAGGTGTTTTGGCTGAGCGCCGGTACCCAAGATTTTGGCGGACCTTCTGGCCATGGCACACGGTTTCTCAACCACGACCCTACAGACCAAGTTGAACCTGGCACCCGTGAAGTCGAGTTGTGTCGGAATGGTCTGGGGAATGTGACGGGGGAGGTGGGGGGGGGGACAACTTTGACAAAAACAACTTTGGGGAAAAGCCCTTGGAGCCGCGGAAAAGCGTCGCGCAAAAGGTTGTGTTGTTAGATCATGGTGTTGTTGACAGATTTGCTGGCCATAGAACCTATTATGTGCCCCAAAAAAACGACTTTTGTTGAGCCCAGAACAGGTCCTATGTTAGTGAAATCCCGCCAAACAAAACCTTCCCCGAACATTGTCACCCGTTTTCTCGGGGGGGAAAATGCTCTTGACATAGAACCCCCACGCCAACTCACACAGCTTCTATGTTAGTGCCTTTCAATCAAGCATCCGAAGGGCACAGTCCGGCCTCCGACCCAGGTCCCCGGTCCCCAAGGTCCCTACGGTGACCAAAGGAACAGTCAAAGAACATCAATGTCAGGCTACATGTTAACACGTTTCCTCACCTCTGCACAAAACCGCAAACAGAACCCTCCCCTACAAATTAACATGGAGTGTTTAATGGAGCTTCTTAAAGGACTGTTGAGATTCCATGCGCAGTGCTTCGTTGATGGGTACGTTAACCTGTGGAATAGCAACCCCACGTCGACCACGCCGATCTCCGCAGACGGTCGCGCGGGCACCGCAAAAAACCTCGAGTTTTTGCACCTCGACCATGTCCGAATATGCAAAAAGCAACACATTGGCTACCAAATGAATATCACAGAGTGTTCACATGGAAGCTGGCCAGGTTTTGAACCACTTCGAATGGTTGCAACTGCAGCTCATGAATGTGTATGTGTGTGACACTCACTCCGCGGGGCTCTACATTAACGACTTGTGGGCCGTGTTTGTGTCAATGTCTTCGAACGCAGACATCACAAGTGTTTTTCCTAACCAACCCAAAAAAAAACATGCAAAAAAACGCCACTGAGAACTCCTATGCTCTTGCGCTTTCCACGGAACCCCGAAAAAATGGCGCTGCATGTGGCTTTCCCTTCGCTTCTTGCACGCGAGTCGCGCGTCTGGGAGCTTTTTGTTTACCTCAGGAGCCGGCTCCACCACCTTCCCGAAGCGGGAGTAGTAGGCCGTCGCCTGGTCCTCCGTCCAGTCCTGGTCGGTCTATGCATCCCATTCTTGGGGGGGGAGGGCGTATAAGAAACATATTAATATAGACTTAAAAAAAACAAAACTATTCGTACAATCCAACATCAAACAAACCAAATTGTAAATCTAAGATAACCCAATGTTCAAAACATCGATTAATCGGAAAAGAAATACATTGTGAAGATTAAACAAACAACGGGGTCAAAGCAGTACCTCAAATTTGCGCAGAGATTGGTCGATAGTTTTCGAACACCCGGATTCTCGTGCGCACGGGATCATTTTTTTGGCCAAACTAACAGAACATGCGGTAGCTCCCTGCAAACAGCCCTTTCAGGGTACTCTTAGGAAGAAATGTGGTCTGCTAGCTCTGCTAGGGGCTGGGGGTTTAAGAATGCCTCTAATGGTAACCCGCACAAAAAGCACACGACTCACGCTCCTTAGGCACCTTCTGCAGGTAGACCTTCTCGGTACCCTCTTCATCTCGGCACGAGGCATATGTGTTTCAAATAGCCCTGCCTTTTGACGCCCCTGGTTGGGATAGGCAAAGGGCGTCCCACAGACCTGCTTTTCTCCTTAAAGGATCTTGAGGGCAAACAGTGTTGCTTGACAGGACGCTGCAAGTTCATCAAGAGCCACAATTTGAAGCTACTCTGCAGACTGTTCAACCAATCACGCGATCCCGAGACAACCTGCCCGCACTGAATGACTTGGAGAATGCAATGAGTCGTTGACTAATTCATGGATGTTGCCCAAAACAGGAAATCCCACCTGTTTCTGGCAGTTGCCCTTTACATGCTGCACAGGAGCGGCCCGAATGCTCCACATCCGTGAGCTCAAGCTGGGTCAAATGTTTGTTTTGTCACGGAAACATCCCTTCCAACAGGTTGCAACCAGCGTGAACCTGGCGCATGAACCCAACGGAAGCGAAGGATCACCAGTTGGCACGACTTCGGACTGAAGGAAAACTGTGGAGCACCAGTGGTGCCTCACAAACATGTGGCTGTGGTGCAAAATTAAGGAGCTGGGTTGGTTCCATCTACCAGCGTGCCATTTTGGCACATTTTTTTGAGCCACCGCCATGTCGCTCTTTCTACCGCAAGCGGACGGTCCAAGGGCTTCCAGTCCAGGCCGCCCCGGCCAGGCAGAGCCTCCCTGCGCTGCGCCTTCCTGGTGCCACGGTCCACCAAACAGGACTCCAGGGTTCCATGGGTTCCATGGGTCCCATGGGTTCCATAAGTTGCATGTCGCAACCAAAAGGAGGTTCCTCCAGAAAATACATGAATGGCAACTAGGTTCGCTGCCAATGTGCACGGGAGGTCATTGTGTCTGGTCGCTTTGGCGGGTAAGAGAGGACAGGGTCGAGGCAGGAAAACACAGCGTTTGGAGACAGTGCGGCTGCACAACATGACCCCTTTCCTTGATACCAAAGTGATTGATACCCATTCAGGTATGCCTGTGTTTTCGCTTGAAAGTGGGTGCCCGGGGTATCACGGAAGTGCCGTGGCAAAAACGGCTTGCCATTGTTTGGCTGTACAAGTTTGGTGAGGAACCCAGATGGCACAAGAGAAACGCGGGCGCAGACATGAGCCACTGGTTCTTTGGGAAACTGCGTGAGTCCCAAAGCCATGTCTTTCCAACATTTACCACAACTGGATATCTTGCCTGAACCTCACCTTCATAAATTTGCCATTACAACACTGCCTGATTGTCAGATGTTTCCTGGAGAGTAGTAAAACGCCTGGTCTTCCTTGGCTTAGGACACAGGTCACCTACAACCGCCGAGCTGGATGATCCTCCAACGAGCTTCCCGAGTTGTGTAGCCTGCAAATGCTCGCCCAACTTGACGCTTGCGGACGAAGGCGGAAAACAACTAGGAACCAAGGGCCAAAAAGGAGTCCAAGCAAGTCTCCAAACGAAGGCCACCCTTCTGTCGCACTACAAAGCTTTCAGCACGGAATACAACCCGGGAACAACCGGAGCTATTGGAAGAGATAACTATGCCCACACGAGGAACTCAATTAATTGCCCAGAAACATGCAGAGCTGGTGTCTCTCCATGTTTGATTTGTTGTATATCTGTTGGCTCTCTCCACCCCTGCCCTGAGCCGAAAGGCACTCCTCGCTTCCGTCAAGCGCATTTGCAGGGCCTGGCGTTGCATCATTCACAAACGGGACGTGGTGCAAGGCCCCCAACATGGGGCTTCGGTGTCCATGTCATGCAAAAAGAGCCTTTCCTTCAAGAGAGGTAGTGTGAACCCAGACCGAATAAGCCCTGACTGATACTAGGGGGTTCCGTTTTAACTAAATGATATATGCACCCGGGGCCATCCTTGTGTGTCCAGAAGAAGAACTCCAAACTTTTCCCACCTAGTGTTACCGTGCTTATTCCAACCCAACAATTGCCCTTCAAAGGGGAACCAAACATGCAGTCCCGCTTCGCGAAAAGAGCATTGAGGCGTTTTTTCTCGGCTGGAATGAATTGTTCAGCCCTCGATGCATTGGGGCAATGACAGGAGGATCCCTCGGCAGGAGGAGGGTAGCGAACCAGCATCACAGCAGAGTGCCAGAGTATTGGGGGTTGGGACGAATACAAAAGATCTGAATGTAACCAAGCGGCCATGAATGGGAGACCAATCTTTGTCGACAACCCCCCAATGGCGGAAAACCCTGAGAGAGTCTCCAGGCGGCACTCGAACCTGATTGGCGGTATTGGGCCCAATGAAATTGGTCCCCGTGACAACATCCCTCAGCCCTCCCCTCCGCGCAGCTTACGTCGGCCTGGCCGCGCCAGACAGTCGCGCTGGGGACGACGGCAGCCTCAACCCGCCGCGGCATGCCCAGCGTGGGTAGAGAAAAACGGATGCCAGGCCACCGAGACATGTACATGTGGATTGGGTGTATGTGCTTAGATATACACGTATAGCTACGTAGGTAAATATGTTTGATCAATACATACGTGTGTGTATATATATATATATGTATATATATATATATATATTCACAGCAAACCGTCATCGACAACCAGAACAACGATAACAATAATCCTGATAGCAATAATAGTTGCGTGTGTGAATGTGGGGGTATACAAATAGTATGAATCACATGGATTGCTTGAGTGCTACATGGGAACAAGGACACCTCTGTAATTTGAGAGGACGTGCAATCCGGGAGGATTCTGAACCTGCCACTTGGGGCCACTCACGCCAGGCCTTGCCTTGCTCTTCGCACCGCCCCAGCGCAATTGGATGCCTTCCCCCTTGTTCAGGCGGTCCCACAACACGACGGGCATCAGCGTGACATCGCCCCAAAAGCGCTGGACCTCCTGCTTAGTCGGCTTTCGCCCGCCAACCACGAGCCCAGTGGCGTCAAGCCTCTTCGCTAAAGAGGCTGGGCCAAAGAGCCGTGTCCCCAGGGCATGCTCTGTGACCGCCTTGAGGTGGTTCTTGCTCTGGGCGTGGCAGGGGTCCCAGACCACACCACAGAACTTGCACCTGCCACCGATTCCCTCCGCCGGCTTGGCAAAGGCTTGCGCCCGGCTCAACTCCGCTTCCTTAAGCGGATCCTTCAGGCCCGCAGGCACGGCAAGCGCCGCACTCAGCCGCTCCTGGAGTGTGACCGCGGCGCCCTCCGAGACCATGCCCAAGTGCTCTGCGAGGAGATCTGAAAACGGTGTTCGGCGTGAGGTCTCCCTCGCATTGAGCACCTCCTGGTCCGTCATCGCATCCACAACCTCCTTACACATGCCTTTCTTGATCATGGCTCTTCGGATCCTCTTCGCTGCCCTCTTAGGGCCTCTGTCCCTCTCATTGCGGGCCTTGCTCAGCTTTGAGCTGGCCGAGGTCGTGTTTCCCAAAGAAGCAGCTGAGGCATCAGACATCCCATCCTCATCCACGTGGGATTCCGAGGCTCTCGTGGATGCGTCAGCCATGCTCATCGCCAACTCGTTCTTGGCCTTCACCTTGCAAAGCTTGGACATCGACATGGCTTTTCCTCCAGGGGCTTTTTGGTACTAACGTGCTTCTCTTGGCAGGAGCGGCGGCTGCGTGGCAGACGTGGAAAACAACAGCAGTCAGCCCCCGAGTTGCAAGCTGATGCTTGGGACACTGTGGTCAGCCCCCCCGCGCAGAAGATCAGCAATCGCCACTTCGGAGTTCGCGTGTCAGGGGTTCCTTGAAATGTGAAAGCCCTAGTCTAGTCGAGTTTCGCCGTAAGGCCTTTGGATCTACCCCCGGCACAATCTACAAGATGTTTCAACAGAAGTGGAGCAAGGATTCACGGACTGTCTGGCCTGTGAGTGCAACGAGCTGCACTGCAAGTAGCACTGCGCCTGCCTAAAACAAACTCGGGCAAGGGCGAGGGAGGTGACTGGGCGGAGCCTTGGAGTCGCAGGAGACAGCTTAAAATCTACCCTTTGTATGAAAGCGCAGCTACGGTGAAGCGCCTGTTGTCTGCGTACCTGCCATCTTTCGTCTTCGGGGGGAATTCGTCTTCGGGGGGAATTCGTCTTCGGGGGGAAATCGTCTTCGGGGGGAAATCGTCTTCGGGGGGGGATATCCCTCTATTCATATCTCTATACCTCGAACGACCCTTCCTAGCGGGGTCTGTCGAAAGAAGTAGAGTTGTCCATCAGCGACCCTCAACGGTTGCATAAGCTTGGGGCTGTATGGAAAGTCTCCTTGAGCCGGCTCGTCCCTATAACTGTACTTGCTGTTCATGAAGAGTGTTTGTGGGTGTTTGATAAGGCTGTGTTCTCATGACAAGGCCTGAAGTGCAACACCGTCCGTTCAAAAATTGGAGCGTGACAAAGCGTGAAGCGACCCCATTTCCACGTGACACAGTTCCATTTGAGCGTGAATGACCAGTGAAAGTGGGCACGCCAACTCTCAAAAAATCAGAATCGGACACTTTTGGACGTCTTTCGAAACGACCCTGCAGCTGGGGCCTTTGGGGGAGGACCCTGTTAGGAAGGGGGCCCTTTACTTCATGTCTACTTGGATCCACTTGAAGAGCCGTAGGATACTTGGAGCAAATTGAAACGGCGCGTGCCGCTTGGACAAGAGCCACTTGGAGCCATTTGGAGCCACTTGGAGCCACTTGAAACAGAACGTGCCTTGGAGCCACATGGAGCCACTTGGAGCCACTTGAAGCGGCACGTGCCACTTGGAGCCACTTAGAGCCACTTGAAGCGGCACGCGCCACTTGGAGCCACATGGAGCCACTTGGAGCCACTTGAAGCGGCGCGTGCTACTTGGAGCCACTTAGAGCCACTTGAAGCGGCACGCGCCACTTGGAGCCACTTGGATCCACTTGAAGTGGCTGAAGTAGCTTGAACTGGCAAATTCAAATAGCGCACGTCAGGCGACCCCAATGTGTAATTTGCCTCCTGATTTGCGGATTTGCAATCAACCACATCTGCCTTGTGTGAAACGTGCTTCAGAAGCAAAGCCCCTCTTAAGACAATGGCAACCAAAAGGTGGTTTTGAGGTTCCATGGTAGTGCAGGCATTCAGGTGTGCATGTCTCTGTGTCTTTGTGTTTGTCTCTTGTGCCCCAAACCCACTGACTTGTGGTTCTAAGATGGATATACTGTCAGGTTGCTTAAAAAACCTAGATGCCTTGCTACCGCCATAAACCGTAGGACCAGGTAGCAGAACTTCATAAAATGGCCATTGGGGTTGGACCCTCATGTGTCCATTGAGCAAAAGCGACTGGAGAGTTGTATGCCTCCCCTGCCAGGCTCAAGTCAAATCCTGGCAAGGCCCAACACTCAACAGAAAAAAGGTGAGCTTCCGCAGAGAACAAGGAATCAGATTTACAAAACAACAGACATCCTGCATTTTGGAAAATTAGCCTTCGCGGTTTCCATTGGTCACCTTCAGTCCCACAGATCGGGTCAGTCCCGCAGTCGCCATGCGAAAGTCAGCCCCAGAAAGCCCAAACAAACGTCCGTTGGCAAAGATTCACTTAGATTGGCCATATCATCTGCAAGCTGGCCATGGTTTTTGGAGTCTCCACAAGGCTCGTTTCTCAGGAAAAACTGGCCCAAAGAACACGAAACACCCTGGACCATTGGCCACAAAAAAGCCGCCCTGGGGCCCTCACGACTGTTGCCAACGGAAAGACACACCATCATAGGTATCCTTTTTGGAAGATAGATGGCCCTGGTTGGAATAAAACCCATCCAAACCAGTGGAACATCTATTTCTAATCAAGCTAACCAAAGGGACGCCTCACACCGGCTGAATGAAGGCCCTTCGGCTGAAGGCCCCAGCGGTCTGCTCCTCCGTGAAGACCACCTCCGCGGAGGCGCCTCGAGCCAGACATGCGGCCCTTCGAGTCGAAGGCGTTCCGTGGGTCTACGGGGAGTTGCCGTCGGAATCCATGGCAGACTTGGGAATGATGGGGTCCTTGGTTTCCCTCAAATGTTTTGTTTGTTTAGGACATCTAGCCACGCCGGAGTCACATCATGCGAATTGTGGCTTCCTGGGCAAAACATGTGCTGAAAGGAGAAAACAAGAGGCGCAATCCACAAGGCACCCAAACTGCTTCCCGGGATGGGCCAAAACGCCCTGCTGCTAACTGAACCCTAGTGATCCTCACAGACCTGATGGACCCCTTCGCCAGGCTTCTTTTTTTGCGGCCATCCTTGTTGACCTTCAGAAGGAGCACAGGTGTGCTGATCATGGTGTGAATAACGCAGGAGTGTGCATATCCCTTTCAAACAGCACCCCGCTCAATGGAAACTCAGTTTGAAGTGCACCCAAAGGATGACGTTAAAGTCACAAACATATTGTGACTCCTGTCTCCAAATCGGAGTGATGGCAATCTTGGTTATGTGAGGGGAACCATGGTTGCAACTTCTCAAACGTGGAAGAGGGCGACATTCCCACACACGCCCGTGCTTGTGGAAAACACCCCCGACTCTGAGAAATTACTTGACATGCGGATTAAACACACTACCACTGCAAAGCGCCACATTATAAAGGCACTCCAAATTCCTGTCATATGGCTGTGGCTCAAAAAACCGGTACCAAAACGGAACCCTGGCAAGTGGAAACATGGACCAAAACCTGCGGTTTGCCCCTCCTGTTTAATTTTGAGCCAAACCCATATCAATGGAAGTGGCAACAAACCCAACTCTTCACTTGCCCACGCCCTGCCTGCCAGTCGCACCTGGCTGCAAGGAAATCGCCCGATCGATGGCCCATTGGCCGTGCCTAAAGACTGCCAGTGCTCCAGGGTCGCTTGGACACCAAAACGCACTCCTGGTTTGCAGTCTGAGAAAATCAAAGTGAAATCAACACAAAGGCATGAGGACAAAAAAGGAAAACCGTTTCCCAACGGAATTGATCCGAAAATTGTAATTTGCAAAACTGCACTCATGCCACCCCGAACCAACAAGCATAAACATGTAAACTCGAATGAAGTATTTAACCTCTGAAATTATCTCGCTACTAGTTGCCACTACAAGTGGGAGACCCGTCCACTGCCTCTCTTCCCCTGTGCCTTGCATGGACGCGCATCCGGAAATCCAGAGCGCTACGTGAACCAAACTGAACCCGGTAGAATTCATCTTAATCAAACCGAAAAACACGAAAGGACACCTCTGTCTCTGAGTCGGCCTTCCCATTCGACTGTCACCCAGGTCCCCGGCTTTGGTCGCCATGTGTTTTTCCTTTTTTTGCGGGCTGCCCCCCACAACAAGCTGAAACCTGCGCTTGCCCCAGGTTGCCACGACTGAAGCAGCCTCGTTCGTGGCCACTCGAGCTGCGGGCCGAGCCCATGGGCCGATGGGTCCCGCGGTCCCGCCTCCTCCACAGCCCCAAAGGACTCGAAGAAGGCCTTCACCTCCACCTGTGATCGGGACTTGGCTGGGACTTTGGACTGGAAAAGTGGTCGACGAGTCTCAGAGCGCGCGACTTGCTTCTTTTTTTTGTTGGCTTGTTGAACTTGTTGTGGTGTTTGCTTGTGGTTGCTTGTGGTTGCTTGTGGTTGTTTGTGGTTTGCTTGTGGTTTGCTTGTGGTTTGCTTGTGGTTTGTTTGTGGTAGTTTGTGGTTTGTTTGTGGTTTGATGGAGCCTGGAAAGCGAAAGGTGATCCTCCCGTGGAAAGAAAAGAACCGGGAGCCCCCAGCCAGGTTCCATGGATAGCGAAGGACTTCTGGCACACGCACCCCAAGCAATGTGAAAGAGCACGTCTTTGTTCTGGGACCCGGAAAGGCAGCTTCCCGCAACGAAAGACTGGTGGCTGAGCGAACTTGGTTCAGTGGCAGGGTGATACCTGGAAGCACGGCTCCATTTTTTGACTACCCCAAGGTCGACGTACACCCAGACGCGGTTCATCCAAAAGGAGAAGCCCTGGGCTTAAGTCTATCTTGGGGTAGTCCAAAACTGGAACCCTGTCGTGAAGGATTCTCTTTCTTGTACTCTTGTCGGTTTGTTGGTATCTCAGACAGGCATCTTAGTCCCTTGTTGGCTTGAATCATCTCCTGTTCACCCAAATTCAACGGCTAGAAAACAACATCCCCCAACAAAGGGGGAGGTAGTTGGTCCCCCACCCACCAATCCAGTCCTCCAAAAAGAAAAATGGCTTGCCGTCAATCACATCGAATTCCATGGGGTGCCTCCCTCTCAGTCCATCAGTCCGGTGGGGACAGCAGGTAGCCAGCTTTCTGGTGTGCAGCTTAGCCGCGAAAAGAGAATGCGGGGGTCCCATGGAGGCCCCTGAACATTGAAAGTGAAGCATGTTCAGCAACTTGCACCAAAGAAGGCTGCCGAGTGCGCCGGGGTTCATCTTCAAAGGGGAAGCATCTGATATGGGGGGTCCCTTCAAAAAGCCAATCTTGCAGGTACCCTCCCACAGGTTCCCTTCGGTTTCCCTTCGAAGAAAAGGCTGCCGAGTTACAACCACAAAAGTCACCCCATGACTTGACCCTGCTCGGGAAGGCCAAATGCAGGTCTGCTCTTCTGCTCATTTCTCCATGCCTAAGCCAGGTACAGCGATGAGATTTGATTTGCTATAATACACAAACTGAAAGCAAGGAGTCCCCCAAGTAAGGAACCAGCATTGCTGAGCTCGTCATACACCCGTGAGCTCGCTTGCCCAGATTTGGATGTGTGTCCGCTTTCACCGTGGTTCGCGGGAAACCGAAGGAAGCCACGAGACAAACCGCTCAGATGCCCAGTAACCATGGGGAAAAAAGGCGTCTTTGTTCAGGCTTGCTTCACTTTCAAGAGCAAGAAAAAGGGGAAAAAAGGGCACCAAGGGGCCACTGGGACCATCTGGGGACCCTTGCCTGGGTCTCCCTCTAATGCCCCACCTCCGTGGCATCCGGCAGGCCCTCCACTGCCAAGGCAACTCGCTGGGCCTTGACTGGATTGGTGAGACAAAGTAACCAGACTTCTTCTTCACCCCTCAAATGACTTTCTCAAACTGTTCTCAACACTGAAACCGGACAGAGCACCATGCTCGGACATGTTTTTGGACTGCACGGATAGGATAATTACACGCCCTTGGCAGGCATGCTGCTGTTTACGTACAAAATGTAAAAGCAAGAATGTATGCATGCACGGCATGGCATGGCATGGCATGGCATGGAATGGAATGGAATCGAATGGGATAAGATACGACGCGATGCGATGCGATGCGATGGAATAGATATATGAACCCATGGGGAAGGTAACCAGAAAACAAAGGCTTATGAACAAGAGGCGCATCCACTCTCGACACGACGCCTTGGGAGCACATTGTCCATGACCAAATCAGCTCGGTTCAGCAGTTGAACCCAATGCCGCACACTGCACTCAGAGCCACTCATGTACGAAAGTATGAGCCCATCAGAGATGGCTTCCACGGCGGGCCACCAAATCCCAGCCACTTTGGTGCCTTTGAACTCAAGTTCCTTCTGGCCCCCCCCCCCTCCCCTCCATCCCCTTGGCCAACGAGCATCCTCCGCTTTTCGCTTGCCTGGCGCATCGTTGAACTCTCCGACACCCTGCTCTTTCGGAAAGAAAGGAAAAACAAACCCACTGGGCTTTGTGTCTAGCTCAATCCTGCGGACCGAGCCTTTGAATCTTGGGCTGGCTTGATGTTTGCGGATGCGTTGAAACGTCAGCCCCTTTGGGACTGTCTAAACATGACAAGCAAAGAAACCAACAAGGAAGCAATCAAACCGGCAAACCGGCAAGCAAACGTACCAACCAACCAACCTACCTACCCACCTACCAACAAAAAACAAACACAACAAAACAAGACCGAAGAAGCAAGCAGGCGAACGATCGAGCGAAAGAACAAACAAGACGCAAAGCACGAAAACAGCTAAACACGCGCGCAGACCAGCAAGCACAAAGCCACACAACCGCTCAGCGGCTTCAAAACGCCCCAAGGAAGGCGTTGCCAAGGCGTTGCGCGTCGAAAGCCTCGCCTGCCACATCCGCCTGAAGCGCGGGAAGCGCGGGAAGCGGGAGCTGGGCGTCGGCGGATTGGGGGTCAAAGTGAAAGACAAATGCAATTTCTATATATATATATATATACATATACAGTACATAGAAATGTCCAGTAGTCATAGATTCCCTCTTTAAAACCAACAAGGGAAAATTAAAGTATTCAGAAACACGTTGAAACAGGGTGGGAAGTGTTCCACTTTGCCAGTGGGACGCCTTCACAAAATTATTCACTTCAATTGGGGCGCCTTGTATCATAGTGGGAGTACAACCCTGTGCTGAAAGACACTTTTCTCCGCCCCCAGCATTTCCACTAACCGCCCCTTGCTTGCTCATCCCCAACAGCGAGCCAAACAACTTGTGAGTGGCTTCCCTCGCTAGAGAGGAATTGGACCAGCATCCGGTTGGTTCGGCCATTTTTGCCCCACCCCTTCAGGGGTGAGGGTTTTTTTTTCAAGCCCGGGGCGCCTACAACCAACAACAGGCAGGACCACATTCGAAGGCGCGGAGCGACATTGGCCAATCGACGGCTCGAGGCGCAAGGTGTGAAGGTTTGCTAAGACCCGCCCTGGGACTGCAAGGGGCCAAATAATATGAATAGAGTTGTAGGGCAAATTGAGTCATCGCAAGAGAAACATGTGCGATTGTTCAGCCACTTGTATTGCTACACAATAGAGCATGGCAAAGGCGCCCCGCAAAAGGCTTGGGTATCCCGGCATCCCCACAAATGTCTAACGCTCAAACAGAACTCGGGTTTCGCTTGCCTGTGTTGCTTTTGCCCCACTGATTTGCGACCTCCAAATGGCAACTTGCACCTTTGCGGCGCCCAGACATTCTTCGTGTCGTTTTTCGCGTTTAGAGTAGCTGGTTCATTTCAGAGACTTTCACCGTCAGCACCCCTCTTGCTGGCTGGGGTGCAGGCGTCCTTCTTGCTTGCAAAGTGGGTGCGGATCGCAATCGCAATTGTCATGAGGTCGCTCTTGTTTGCACACGCTGACACGCCCTGCACCTTCCCAAGACAAGGCAAAGGCAAGCTTATACCCTGCTTAAACCATCTGCTTGTGCCGTAAACTCACACACCCGCCCTCCCCCCGGATCGTTTCCAAACCCTCGCGCCTTGCACTGAAGACGCTTTCCTTGAAACCTCGGCGCGGACAGCCGGCCGGTCATCCGTGTCAGCCCTGCCTTGCTCGGCCCCTTACAGTAAACATTTTGCGGGGTTCTGCAATTTTACTTCTGGGGGTTCCCTTTGAACTACCATTCAGAGGGCCACACCCAGCCTCAGCAGCCCCTTGACTGAGCCAAGGTGCATGGGCTCTGCTTGCAGGATCGCCCTGGCACGGCCACATCGGCGCAAAGAGCTTGCCTGTGACAGCACCAAAGCTGCAAATGCCAGGCTGCGCCGCTGCGCAACGGCAAAATGCAAAAGACGGGTCTGCCACTTGCTTCGAGGGATCCATGGTCCAAGGCCTTCATTCAGCCCACGCCTCGCAGCCTCGGGGCTCTTGAAGGTGACGCAGCCGGAGCCTGAGGCATCGACCCAAGAGCCGAAGCGCCGAGCGCTGCTCGCGGCAGGAGGCTTCTCTTACGCCCGGCCGACGTCAACGGCGCTTGTCTGTGGTGCGTACATGGTCGGAAGGTGGTTCAAATGGCAACTTGGCCGCTCACAGAAACCGGCAACCAAACGTGAGATCAAAATGGAAGGAGGATGCAAACATAAGACACGTGAGCGCCTTTCATGCTGTTGCATGCCATCTTAAGGGAAACCGAAACGAAGCCAATACCTTTCCCCCGCCCCCCAAAGCCCCGCGCTGCAGCGGTCCGTGGCTGGGCAACGGTCCAGCATCACCTCCTCACGGGGAGGTGTTCCTTTCTGCCTCAGTTCCTTCAAACGTGTTTTTGCGGGTGCCGCCATTCTTGCGGGTTTTTACGGTGGTTTTAAGGGAAAACCAAAAAAAACACTGTTCTGGGCATGTATTTGATCCAGCTTCATGGGTGTCTCCAAATAGGTCAGCTGCAGTCCCCCAAAAAAGGAAGCCGTTTTCGTTTTCCACTTGAAGGTGCCCCCTGCTCAGAGGGGTGTGATTTCAATCAAGCAGGGGAATATTCCCATTTTGTTGGGGTCCCCTATCTTGAGACACAGCTGAAGACCTGGTGGGTCAACGACCAACCCCCGCTGAGAAAAAAATCGACTGTTTCCTTGTTGCTTGAGAAGCGCCGCCATGCCAATGCGTGGCTTCCTCTTGCGATTTCCCTTCAACGCACCTCAAGTGGATCCTCATGCCATGCCAAGGAAAACACCAACCACTCAACAGGAAACCCACTCCAATTCGGCAACTAGAACAGGAAAGAGGAGCGTGGCCAGTTTCGAACTACTTTGAATTCACACTTGCGAGAAACTCACCTCAACAAGAGCCTTTCCAAAATAGAGATGCTTCAGCATGGAAACTCTCGCGGCTGGAATGGCTTGGCGCCGTTTCTCGCTCGGGGGGCTTGCAGCCCAAACCTGATCCCCACCACCCCGTGCCTCCCCCAGTATGCCCAGTGACCTTGGGGGTGAGGGGGAGGGTGGCGGGGTCGGTTTCATGCGGTGGTTCTGGATGACCTGGAAGCAGGGGGGCCGGGTGAACGGCTCCACGGCATGAACGGCTCCTTCCCGTCTTCCCGGGAGAAACCGCCCATGAAACGCGCACGCCAACCTTTCGCCCGTCCAGGACGGAGCCGAAGCTCTCGAAGAACTCCTTGAGCTCGTCCGCGTCGGGGTCTGGATGGAACGAGCTCCCAGGCCTTTGAGGCCTTCAAGGAAACAAGGCCTGTCCGGTTTCTGGCCTTGGAACATATGACTGTGGCTCGAAAAACCGGAAGTCCAACATGGAACTCTGGTAAGTGGGAACATGGACCAAAGTTGGGGGGGCAGTTTGGATCTGTTTTGAGCTGTGCTTCCCTTGATTCTCCTACAACCATAGTATATGAGGGGCCACCCCCCAAGATTTGACCCACCCCACCCAAAAACACGGTTTTCCCCTCAGAAAACCGCCCCCAAAAGATGTGATCCACCCCACCCAAACCCCTCAGAAGGCCGAGCCCTCGGGGTGGCATTCCCACATTCCACCCTCCCACGGCCTGGCGAAAGGCCCTGGAACAGCACCTTGGCGCTGGAGCCTCGCACGGCCGCGCAAACACATCGCGCGAATCGGGGGTGCAGTGGCTCCTTTTTGCGAGGGAACCCAGCGGCTTTGAGGGACCAATGGCAAACCAAAGGGAGACCAAAGGAAAAACAGAGGAGGAAGAAAGGGAACCCAAAGGAAACGCACTGGTTTTGGGTTGCTTTCAAAGGGTAAGTGGTTTGGAGACAAACCTACCTGGCATTCGCTTTCTGCCCGATTATCCATGACGGTGCTTGTCACAACGTGCAGAACAAGCGGCAGGGCTGGCTTTGGGCATTAAGCCGGCCAAGCCAAACCTTCCAAATGACAACGTTTCGCCAAAACACCGCAAGCACCGACCCCCCTGCCCAGCATTGGGCGCCCGCGCCCTTTGTCGCCTTGCCCTTGCCTTTGCCTCAAGCCGGGAAAGTGCAAAAGGCGAAGCCAAAAAACGACCGCCGCCAACCTGAGCCAAGATACTTGAGTTCCAAATACGTGAGGCCCCACCAGAAAAAAGCAAAACAACACACACTGTGGCAGACAAAGATCCCAAGGGGACCAACTTGTTTTCACACCTGGGCGCGTCTAAACCTAAACAGGGATCCTTACATTATACACCTGAACATTGCCTTGTAAATGGCGTTTTCCCTTTATTTGGGTGTTGAAAAAGCCATGTTTCAAATGGTTGCAAAAAATGTAGCTTTTAAGGAGCCCTGTTAAACGAAGCACCCAAAAAAAAACCGTCCCCACGCCATGCCAGGCGCCGAGCCCTTCTCAGGAGGCGTCAGCTTGCAGTCCTCGGTCCGGCATGGGATGGATGAAACCCGATGATAGGCCAACTGGTGCAGGAGTTCGGCCAACTGCGTGGACCTGGAAAAAGCTGCTCCTCGCCGCAAACCAAAAAAAAACGGGTTGACCAGTTTAAGCTTTAGTCGTTTAGCCCCCCGAACCCGAACCCGAATCCTCGTGACCACTGAACCCGAACCAGAACCAAAACAAGCGGGGGCGCTTTGGGGGGGGAGGGGGGGGCGCAGCCAGCCCCTCACGACGGAACAAGACCGGAACTTGGTGGGTTTCAAATCGAAAGGAATCCAAGCATTTTGGGGGGATCCCCCACTTCTGAGACAAGCCCAAGTGGGGAGTAAAAGACGTATGACATAATCTTGATGCTGAAGACCTCGAACTGCTCTCTTCCTTTTGAAGGCCATTGAGCAAGCGTGCTTGGAAGGAGCAAGTAGGAAGGGCCAGAATCACATGCCCATCTCAATTGCTCATTCAATTTGACAATTGTTGCTCAAATTCCCAACCTTCCAGCAATCCGGAAGACCATACCAATCTGGGGGTGGTTCCCAGAACAGACTGGTCGTATGGCACAGCGGTTACGACACAACCAACCATCTCTTGTGCATTCTGAGAATCGTCCCTGGCTGTTGTCTTCGTGGTGAGGGGTGGTGCGGACTTTCCATAAAATCCGCCGACATTGTGGAGGCTTGTCGGATACTTAAAAGAGGAGAGAGGATAACCCCGCCCGACGTCAAATGCGTAGGGTTTTGGGGGGGGGGGTTGATGACAGGCGCCTCTTTGCTGGTTCAAGTTTTCTGCTTCCGCCGAGAATCTGGAAAAACTATGTGTCTTGGACAGCATGTTTGCGAACATGTTGGCGTCGGAAAAATACCGGGGAGCGAAGGGGAAATGCAAGGAAGTGCAGGGAAAGGGGGGGGGAAATAAAGGGACATGCAAGGACATGCAGGGGACAGGAAGTCGACATGACAGGAAAGCAAGGGGACATGAAAGGTAAACGAAGGGGAACTGAAAGGGACATGACAGGGAAAGAGGGCGGTCCAGTGTCTGTGCGTGGTTCAGTGCGATTACCAAGGGATGCGCGAATGAAACTTTCGTGAAGTGAAGCAAAGTGCTGTGGTGTGACGTCAAGTGAAGTGATGTGAGCACGGGTATTGTGAAGTCAAGCTCCTGAACCTGCACCTAGTGGGAAACCAAAACACTCCACAACAAGCCCACGCTGGGTTTTGTTGGTTCGCCGTACTGGCAAAAGTCCCGAGGGATAAGAACAAGCGGCCTCGGAAAGAAACAAGAAGGATGCAGCTTTCTGTATCAACCGATTACTATATGCCAAGCAACATGTGTAAGAGCGTGCATTGTTCATGGGGAAACAAGGTGTCGTAACCTGCAAAGATTCTGCCCATAACCCCATGCCCCGCTAGCAGTTCAGCGCTCATCAGCGCTTGAAGGCGCTCGCCTGGCTTAGATGGTTTCCTCTACCCACAAACCCCATGACAGGAAATGCAAAGGAAGTGAAGGGGGCATCCAGGGGAAACGCATGGGATTTGAAGGAGTAGTACAGCGACAATACAGAGGCATTGAAGGGAAGTGCATGGAAGGGGCTGAAAAATGTGCGCTTTGGCTTGGGGAGATGGGGAGGATGGGGAGCAGAGGGAGGGAGAGAGGACGACAAACACACGGGGGAGGAGACAAGAGAAAGGGGAAGAAGGAGAAAAGGGAGAGGACAATGTCGGCGGACTGAGCCGGAGGCTCTAAAGTAGATGGCCCTGGCAAATGGAATAAGACCAATGTAAACCAGTGAAACCCATCCATTTCTATCCAAGCTCACCTAAAAAACCGGCCATGGCCGCGGATCTCTTGGCTCTCCAAACGTCACCTCGCGCGGTCGCCCGCACGTCGCACGCGTCGGAAGCGTCGGGCCGAGACCCGCGCCAGGATCGCGCCCTGCAGGAAGATCCCGTGGCGGTCGAAGGCCTCCTCCGCCTCGGTATCGTGGGGGTGGAGGCGGGGGAGGCGCCGGGGGTTCGAACGGAAAGGTGGGGGAGGGTTTCCCATCAGCCTGGGTTTGGAGGGCTGTTCTCATCTGGGTTTGGAGGGGTGTTCCCATCAGCTAAGGTTGTTTTTGCCCATGTTGAGTGAGCAGCTACCAATTTTTGGGTGCCACCAACCTTAAGTGCAATTTGTGCCCTTTGAAAAGGGGCTCTCTTCAGCAAGAGAAAGCAAGGCCCCAGTTTGATGCACCACTGAACCCCCCTCCCCATTTCAGCGGCATACCAAGCAATTCAAGGTTGGTCGTATGCTTTCGTCATCAAATCACATTGGGATTCATGTGCAACGGACCATGTTTGAGGGAGAGAGCCTTGCAGGGAGCCCTCCGCAGGTGGCGTTTGCATTCAGGAAAGAATGGTCTTAAGGAATACCAATGCAAAACGGGGGCGAATTGTGCCGCTCAAAAGGGATACCAACCAAAAATAGATGAGACCTGGTGCACAGGGCTCTCTCAATCTAACCCCCGCCTCTGAAGGCTTGGACATGTTGATGAAGGCGTGTCCTGTCGTCAGAAACAAGCTCACAGGCCGCAATGGGCAAAACCCGATTCGCACCTATGAATACCACAAAAAGAATATTATGTGTATTATCTGTGTATATATGTATATATATATATATAATGTTGACAAACCAGCTATTTGTACCAACTGGCGCGGGATGCTGTCCCACAGTGCCATGGTCATTATTTACCTCCATGGTCATGGTTCTTTAAGAGGAACCCTCATGGGTTTTGCTTTTATGACACTCCGGTTGGCTTCCCCCTCCAAATGGCGGGTTTGCTCTTCAAACTGCAGGTTTTCCAAAACAGATTGAGGGTAGCCACTTTGAGGCCCCTTGCTTGAGGTTTGAGATTAGGAGCGGACCCGGAAGCCGCTTTGTACTCGAAGCGCACAGACAAAAGTGCGCCGGACTGATAGCCAGATTCACAGGTTATGAGCCCAAGTCACGCGGTGTGACACTGGCGCCATGGATGGCGCTGACTCAGGGAGGACCCGGAGAAGGACCACCCTGGAGAACAACGGAAAGGGAACTGGAGGCCGAGTCGGCCCCGTGGTGGAGGAGGTGGTGGAACCTGCCCTGATAGCCAGGCCGGATGGGTTGATTGAGGCGGCAGCTTCGACCCAATGGCCTGGAGGGCCGCAGGGGGAGCCATCGTCGATTCAGCCTGGGCCGGCAGAGAACGAGCTGTTCACTCCGGAGCAGATGAGAAGGTTGGATGAGTGGACGGCCGAGGCTCCGCTCATTCACGCAACGGGAGCTGCAACAGGTCATGGAGGTTTTGAGGGCTACATCCAGCGGTCCAATGAGGGCATGCAGGTGGAAAGGCAGTTGGCGCTGGCAGCACAACATCTTGCTCTACCAGGACCAGCGGGAGATCCTGAAGGCCCACGGCCTGCTCAACGGCAAGAACTGGGGCCGCAGCTGGTACTTCTTGGACCTGGGGGACATCTTGAAGGCTCACGGCTTGCTCAATGGCAAGATCAAGGATCGCTGCAACAGCCGGGACTACCTGAACCAGGACGGCATGCTCAATGGCCAGATCCGATGCAGCAGATGCGCTACTACATGGCACAGATCCTGGCGGATAACCGGAGGCTACACCAGGAGGTGGGGCAATGTCTCAGCCAAGTCCAGGACATGCAGCAGAACTGGAAACCGCCGGAGGTGGAAGCTACTCGAGGAGGTGATCAGAGTGACAGGTTTGCCACACCTGAGGAACATGGAACCCCTGAAGGCCGTGGAACTCGAGGTGAACCTGCTGATCCTGAGGAAGAATCCTCGGAGCTGCGTGAGGACGAGCCGACGGGCCCGAAGGACAAGTCCCTGGACATCATGCTGAAGATCGTGCAGGGCATGCAGAACATGCAGCAGCAGATGTTGGACACCAAGAAGAAGGTGGACCACGGCGATGACACGAGCGAGACGGTGAAGAATGTCACAACGGATTTGCCGAAGCTTGTGGAGTATAAGCCGGAGAGTGCTCCCATCGACCTGGGAGACTGGATTTGCGTCCTGGAGCCGATTATGGCGGACCTCAGTGAATCGTCACAGCAATGGTGGCAGCAAGTGGTGGAATCGGCGAGGATGTGGTACGGAAGGTATCAGACTACGCCGCCGCTGGAAAGACTCAAGCTGCAGCCGAAAGACCCTCCGGAGCTTCAAGAACCGAAATGGCGGAGGCTGGAGAGGCGGGCTGTGGGGCTACTTCTTCGCGCTCTTCCTGACGGAGCTCGTGAAGAGATGGTGGCAACGAAGTCCATGACTTGCTATGCGATTCTATGCAAGCTCATGGCGAGCTACCAGCCGGGAGGACTGGTGGAGAAATCGGTCATCCTGAAGAACCTGGAAAGTCCCCCTGAGGTGGACTCCCTGGCATCGCTGGTGGTTGGGTTGAGGAAGTGGATGAGGTGGAAGCAGAGGGCACAGGAACTTGGGGTGACCATTCCGGACCCCACGGTACTGGCCCGCTCCCTCAGCAAGATGGTGAAGAAAGTGGTGGAGATGCAGCCAGAGCTCTCGTTTAAGATGGCCCTGGCAAGGAATTCGCTCCAGCTGGACTCCATCCCCTCTCACGAGGCAGTGGAGAAGTACGCGGAACACGTCTTGTCAGAGGTGGAAGCGATCGCCCACTTGGAGAAGGAGGTCAAGGCCCCAGCGGGGAAGGCGCAGGCCACGGACACCCGCATCAAGAAGGCAGAGGCTGTGGACTTCAAGAATGAGGTGAAGAACGCTGGAGAAGGTGGGAAACCCTGCAAGTTTTTCCTTACCGAAAAGGGCTGCAGGAGAGGACGTGGCTGCCGTTGGAGCCATGACCAGAAAGATGAACGCATGAGATGCTGGTCGTGCGGGGCGAGCGAGCACATGAGAAAGGACTGCCCCGTGGCGATCAAAGGCAACGTGGACCGAAAGCCCAAGGCGGCGAAGGTCAACGCGGAGGAGGAAGCAAAGAAGGAAGTCGCGACGGAGAGCCAGAAGGTTACAACTCCAAGGGCGACTACGTCGGCAGCGATGCAAGAGGATTCACCGGGAGCGGCGAGTTCGGCATCGGGCGACAAAGAGACAGACGCAATGAAGGACGTGCTCCAGGAGGCGACCAAAATGCTCAGGAGCATCAACGTCAAGACCGGCAAGAATGGACCGGAGGACGACGAGAAGAAGCTGATGGACCTGCAGAAGCAGCTGGACGGCATGCGAGAAAAGATGCGGGTTCGACAGGTGAGGTTGTCGAAGATGGAGATTGGTGGTTCAGGAGCAACGCACCCGCTGAGACCCATGATGAAGGGCGAGGACACCTCGGACTATGAGGAGAAGACCGTAGAGCTGGCGGCTGGAGAGACTTACCGCCTGAAGGTCACCTTGGGAGGAACCCTGGTTGCGGAAGACGAGCGGATACAGCCGATCATCCCCATGGGAATGCTCACGAAGGACTTGAATTGCCAGGTCAAGTGGAGCGGGAAGACATGTGCGGTGGTGCACCCTGGACGAGGACGTCTACCGGTGGTGATGAGTCAAGGCTGCCCGGAGTTGCCGAGAGAACTGGCCCTCAGCTTGATCCAGGAGCTTGAGGGGGTGAACCGCTACAGGGTCAAGGCGCTGTCAAAGCAGGATGAGGCGGACTTCATCAAGAAGGTGGTGGAGACGCACCCGGTGTTCGACGGTGTGCCGGAGGCAATCAAGGAAAAGTTGATGGTCAATCCGGCGGAGGACTGGAAGCCTCTGGGATTGAATAGGAGCCGGAGGAGAAGGCTTGAGAAAAAGGGAGGTGCGATTGTGCACTTGTTTGCAGGCCCGGAGGAGGGATTTGACTTGTCCCGGGCTTATAAAGAGCAAGGAGGTGATCCAAGGGACATCCTGGAGTATGACATCCTCCGTGACAACAGCCACGACCTCATGGACGACGAGCTCATGGGTGGCTTGGTGCGGCTGGCTCTGGATGACCGAATCAAAGCAGTGGTGGGGGGCCCGAATTGCAGGACGCGATCAGTGCTGCGGTTCTTCCCATTGCTCAACAGGGCCAAACCGCGACCGGTGAGAACGGTGGAACATCCCTGGGGATTGCCGGGAATGGACCAAGGAGAAGAAGCCATCGTGTACGAGGATGACGTGCTCATGTTTCGCTTCATCCTGGTCTACTTGCTGGCGGACCTCACGGCAAAGGCCAGAGAGGAAAAAGGGGGCGCTGTGGAGTTCTTCCTGGAGCAACCGGCAGAGCCGCAGGCGGAGCCGAGGTGTGCATCGTGGTGGCGGACGCCGGAGTGGGAAGCCCTGGAGAAGCTCCACGAGCTCAAGAGGGTGACGTTCTTGCAAGGTGACTGGGGTGGGCGAGCGGCGAAGCCTACGACGATCGGGACCACCATGGACTTCAGAGGCCCCGAGAAAGGCATCTGCAAGCTACATCAAGGAGGTCATCAAGGGCAAGAACAGGAGATGGACAAGCCGAGGTGGATGATGACGGATGAGGAGAAGCTCAGCTCCTCGAAGGCATTGGCTCGATGGGCCCTGGGATGATGCGGGAGCTCGCAAGGTGCCTTCGGAAGGAGGTGGACGGGGAGTCGAGAACGAAGGTGAAGGCCCTGTCGTGGGAAGAGCATGTGAAGTTGGGGCACCTGCCGTTTCGGCGGGACTGCCGAGTGTGTCAGGAAGCCTCAGGCAAGGACAGGCCACATCGAAGGGTACGACATCCAGCCGGGAATGTCCTCTCCGTGGATTTGAGTGGACCGTTCATCAAGGGCATCGATGTGGATGGAGTCCAAGACCGAAGGTACCTGCTCGTGGCTGCGTTCACATGGCCACAGATCCACACCGAGGAAGGTGAGGAACTTCCTGCTGCAGAACCAGGCGAGGGAGAAGATCTACTACCGGTGGCGGAACAGGAGGATCAGGACGAGCAGGAGGAGGAAGAAGGCTTCAATGTGGAAGGAGCCCGAGAGGAGGAGGAGCAGCCGGTGATTCCGGAAATCCAGAAGGAACCGCACCCGCTGAAGACGTTGTACATGACGGTCCCGCTGAAGTCCAAGGACAAGCGGGAGGTCTTGGCGGCGATCCAGGAGGTCTATATCAGACTGAGGAGAGAGGGCCACCTGGTGCTGAGACTGCATTCAGACAAAGGAGGCGAGTTCATGAGCAAGGAACTAGCCAGCTGGTGCCGACTGAGGGACATTAGAAAGTCCACCAGGACACCGGACCAGATGCAGGAGAACGGAAGGGCGGAGGCCGCGGTTGGGGTCGTCAAATCCATGGTCAGAAGGGTGCTGATAGCATCACGATGGGAACCAAAGTGGTGGCCCTGCATCGCCCGCTACGTCTCGGAGGTGCGCTTCAAGTTCGACCAGACCGGAGACCATCCGAAGTACCAATTTGGAGAGGAGGTTGTGGTACCAAAGAGAGCTTGGAAGCAGAAATCCTTCGAGGCGAAGAATCAGCGAGGCAAGTACCTGGCCCCGCTCTATGACATCACCCACGGTCATGCGGTGAAGCTGGACTG